TATAAGTAATATAAACAATGTATAATATTTTTGTATTTTATTGTTATCAAAATAATTCTGGCTTAAAGCCATCATTTTCATTGATATTATTATTAACATCATCTACAAACATTGAAACATCTCCTTAATCAATAAAATCAGCAACAATAAAATTGGGCATCTTTCTGCAATGATGATAATATTGTAAAAAACGCTTTTTAACATGCTGGTAGAAATTATATTTGGTTCTGTATTAGAAATCAGGTCTTAAGTTTATCTCAAAATATTTACTTAAAAGAATTTTCAGGGTTTAGATGAATTTCTAAGAATGGTGACCAAATAGATCCATCATGATTATTTGTTACACCTCTAGCCACTTTACCTGTTTTAACATCTTCTAAGGGATCAGTTTCCCAATCTACTTAACCACATACTTTGTAGGAATAATATGTATAATTTAATAACTCTTCACAAACCTAATCCCTTGGTTCAATTGTGATTAAAATATTCTTTTAGTTCTGCCTACACCAACCTAAAGTAGGAGGATTATTTTCTTAAAATGTTATAGCTCTTTAATCTCCTTTTAATTCAACTATTAAACTATGTAACATTGCAGTGATCAAAGATCGATCCCATCCAAATGTGCCATTATTTTTAGTATTATATAACAGTTTACTTTCAAGCTTTACAATCATGACTTCATTTGGATATTTATATGCTAAATTAAACAATTCTTTAAGACGATCTATTGCTTTTTCTGGACTTTTCAAAGCCCTCTAAACAACACTAAGTTTGCAATTTGAACCTCCATCTCCTTCATGTGCAACAACAATCTTATAAATTAAATATTTATACTTATGGAATGCCATCTTAGATATGCCAGTGCAATGGAGTTTTAAAATGTCTAGCTCCATATTTTTCAAACTATTCTGTTATTGACACATTTTGTTAAGCATAAACCCATCCATAGCATTTAGACATAGGTGCATTATGAGCTCCAAGAAAAACAATTTGATTTAATTTTAAACTATCTTTAAGATGGCCATTTCCACCTGGTAAATTTGCTTACATTATTGATGATAATAAAAATTATAAATATTATCATTATTTTTTTTCTTAAATTCCTCTGAAGGAGATCTTCTAGTAATTCACATACATTAGATATGTGTAGATGTTTACCTTTTAATTTTTTTTGGAGGATGGTTTTTATATAATACTTTATATTTTTCATCAAAGTGCAACTTAAATTGGCTCAGTCTTAAATTGATTAATTCATACCTAAAGAATTTATCAATGTTGCATATAATATCAAAAAATAATAAGATATTAATATAGAATGCAAAATTTTTAAATATATCTAATTTATAATATTAAATGATAAAATTCTGTTTATTTTTCATCTTCTTTTTCAAAATGCATAAAAAGCTTAAATTTTTATAACCGACATAAACTCGTTTATTGAATTACCATTTGATAAAATTCTTATTTTTGAAACCAATCTATCAGAAAACTTAATTGTTATTAATCCATGGATTGACCCTTCATGTATTAGTGTTTCATCACTGTCAGCCTTTTCTATTGCAAATAGTTTGAAATTATGAATACGATCATCAGGATCCCAAAATCTAATTCTAATAGTATTAATTTCATAAGCTTATAGAAATTAAACAATCATTGATTATCCAAGGTTACACCTTGCATGCCCCAAATTAGCATAAGAAAAGTATATTCTATTCCTTAATGGACTTTTACTTTCTCCATCACCATGAAAGTATAATAAACGAGCATTTGCCATCAAACCCCCATTTTATTCAGATGCTACATCCTTATAATGACCTCTTATGATTGATTTTTCTCTCAAAATATATAAATCATTTTGGCTAAATTTAGCATTAGCGTCTTCAGAAGGTGGAGCTTAAAAATCTGAATAATTGAATAATAGCAGAATCAATACAATTTTCATCTAAATATAATTAACTATAACAGGCAAACCAATAGAAATATAATTTCTTTCTCCAATTTAAAATTATTGCAAATAAGCTCTCTATTAAAAAAAAATTTTAATTTGAACTTGATCTTAAACTTTAAGAATATTAAATTATATTTTTTTTTATGACTATAAAAACTAAAATTAAATGTTTATGGGGAAATTTATTTTTTGTTTCTCTTAAGAGAAATCTTATTTTTTTAAATATATAAATATTTTTTTTAATTAAGGGTTTTACTTATGATAAATTCTTTTAATAAAATAATTTGGAGTGTTATAAAACGATTTCTTATGTAATAACAACATATTAAATTTTTGATAGAAGTCAGGATTAAATGATTTGATTTATAAATCCTAATAAAAACCTTTTGGAAGTGAAAATTTATTAATTTCAAATTTTTTAAGTTTAAATTTGGCATACCTACCTATATATAAAATACTTATCAAATTTCTGAAGTTGTATAAAATGTATTAGGAAGAATAAGAGATATCAATAAATCATTTCATTACGATTTGAGAAGGATTCAGCTAATGAAGAAAAAGAAGAAAAAGTAAAAATAAATAGCTAGAAAAAAAAAACTGAAATGCACTATTCTCATTTTTAAATTAAAAAGAATTAAATTTTTTGATTAACAAAGATATTCATCAGAGAAATAATAATTAGTCAATTTAATTTTAATTGGAGTAAATAATAATCATAAATCATTATTAAAATAAACCTTTTTTAGATATTTTATTTTCAAGCAAGTTTATGAATTCGTTTAAATTTATCTAAATTATTGTTAATTTTACCATTCCATCTTTATCTTAATCGCATTCATCTAAAATCTCTAACCACATCTCTTCATCAATCTCATCATTAAACAACTCATTTATTTCTTATTTGGTAATTAATCCATTACCATCTAAATCAAATAGTTTAAAAGATTATTCTATTTTTTTTCTATTTAAAGATTTTTCTTTATTAATAGATGCAGTTATGAACTCACTAAAATCAACTTTTCCTGAACAGTTAGCATCTAGTTATGGAAATAACTCTTCAACTACTGTTTCTGCTGCTAATTTATCTCCTTTATAGATTTTTAGATAAGCTAAAATATATTTATTAGAAAATCACCTTAAAATAATTCATCTTTACTCACTGTACCATCTCCATTTTTATCGATGTCTTAAAATATTTTAAGAAGATCATCCTTCTCTTAAGTAGTAACTACTTAAACTGTTATAAATTATAAAATAGCATATTTTAATTTGTTTTTTGAATCAAAATCTTTTAACTTATTTAGAGTTTAAATATTAATTTATCCTTTAGATTTATTATTTTAAATCCAATCATGATTAAGAGCATCTGAAGCTGAAATTCTAAGAGTTGGATCATAAAGCAGCATTCTTCTAATTAAATCTTTTCCCTAATTAGAAACTTTTCCCCAATCAGAAGGATCAAAAGAATATTCCCCTTTTTTAACTTTCAATAACACTTCCTATTCATTTGGACCGAAAAAAGGAGGATAGCCACATAGAAGAATATAAAGTATAACTCCCAAAGACCAGATATCACATTTTTCATCATAATTAGCATTAAGTACTTCTGGAGCAACATAGAAGGGCTATAATATAAATATCATGTACAGTTCCAATTCTTTTTTAAAGTTTTTCACAATATTATAGCTTTGCACTAGCACCAAAGTCTATAATTTTTATTGTTGCATATTTATTTTTTTAATCAAACAAAATATTTTCTGGTTTTAAATCTCTATGCACTATTCCTTTTTGATGGCAATATGAAACTGCTGATAAAATTTATTTCATGTAATTAGCAATCTCTTTTTCAGTTAATATTTACACATGCTTAATCTTTTCAAATAACTCTCCTCCATCACAATATTCGCTTATCAAATAATAACTAAATGTATCAGAAAAGATTTCATATAATTTAACAATATTTGGGTGATCAATATCCATTAATATAGATGTTTCTTCTAATAATTTTTCTTAATCTTCCTATTTCATTTTTTCTTTCAATATCATTTTTAATGCTCTAGTCATCCCTAAGATAGAGATCGTGATGCTTTTTACCAGTTTGTTTATGAACAACCTTGTAGACTTTACCAAAACCTCCTTGTCCAATCATTTCTTTGATTAAATAGGATTCATTGACATTTTTATTAGAATTGACTCTTACAAACATAGTTTACTTAATATTCCACTGCTTAGAACTTGTTTTCATATATTCTTATTTTACTTCTGATTCTATTTAATCTTTTGAGCAAACTGTAGATTTTTTAAGACAATTGCCTTCATTGACTTTTTATTGATTGATGTTGATGTCTAGATCTATAATATTTTGAATAAACTCATTTTAGAATTGTTCTGATGATTCTTTATGTAGAATAGAATTAGTGTGATATTCTATAGATTTAGACTAAAAACAACCATTTTAAAATGATTTACAACAACCCATAATATTAATAATAATTCATGGTTTAATAATTTCTTCATATCCCACTTTACAATATTAAACATTTGTAAAACCATTGGCCACTAACAAAGTATGAGCAATTTTGGCTCTTTATCCTGTTCCACAATAAATATTAATTTATTAATCTTTATTGAGTTTATCTAAATTGTTCTATAATTCATTAAGAGAGTATAATTTAGCTGTATCTAATTTTCCTTTTCTCCATTCTTCCATAGATCTAACATCAATAATTTATCCTGAATTAGATTATTAGAGTTTCAAGAATTCTTATTTTTCTAATTCATTTGGTTTACTAATTGATTCTCCAGCTTATTACCAGTCTTCGAAATACATATATCCTAAAATATTATCATAACCTATTCTTGATAATCTCATTATAGTTTATTCTTCAGTTCCTTTTTCACATACAATAATGACTTCTTTATTGTGTGGTAATAATGTACCAACCCAATGAGCAAATGGAATTTATAATGGTACGTTAATAGATCCAGGAATGAATCCTTCAGAAATTGAATTTCTAGAATCTATAATTTAAGCATTATTTTTAAGTTTGACATCTTTAGGGGATAATCTTGTATTTGATTTCTTTAGGATTTCATTTAAATCTGAGGTAGTATTGTTCTTATTCAACCCAGCATTATAAAAGAAATATTATGGAGGTTTAGGTAAATCTCTTACAACCTCTCCTACAAATGTTTCATAATCCATTGGTTAAAGAGCATAATTATTTTTCTTTTAATTTCCCATTGTACAACTATATCCCGAAGAAATATTCTTTCCGCAAGCTGAACCTTATCCATGTCCAGGATAAACAACTACATCATCTGGTAATGGCATTAATTTTTCTCTTAGAGATTTAAATAACATAATTGCCAAATCATATTGACTCAAATCACTTTTTACTGCTAAATCAGGTCTTCCTACTTCACCTAAGAATAAAGTATCTCCTGTGAATAAACTATTTATAAAATATATTTATACCTATGTTTTTTACCCTTCCCATCATGTAATAAAAAACATGTAGATTCTTATGTATGACCTGGTGTATGTAGAGCTTGAACTTTTATTTATCCTAAATTTAGAAATTCTTTGTCTCTTAATATTTTATTAATAAATGGTGCCTCTGCATTTGGACCCATAATTATTTATGCTCCTGTTTAATTCTTTAAACTCACATGACCAGCTACAAAATCTGCATGGAAATGCGTTAAGAGAACATATTTTATTTTTGCTCCTCTCTCTTTTGCAAGGTCTCTATTATCGTTATATATAAAATTACATATATGGTTAAATATCTCTCAAAGGGTCAATGATGATTGCCTCCTTATTCGATTCAATGTAATAAGCATACTCAGCTAAACAACCTGTAAAAAGTTATTAGCAATAGAATCCTTCTCCAAAGGTTTCACTTGACTTTTATTGAACAGATTTTGAAAAATTATAGAGAATTTTCCAATTTAACTTCATTCCACTTTATTACATGTAGAGTTGAACAATTTTTATCATATTTTTTTATTATTTACAAACGTGATTTTAAATCCACATATAAACCCAATTAAAATAAGATATTTTGCTTTAATATATATATTTAATTATAAAATTGTCATTTTTAAATAAAATTTGATAAATATTAAAACCATTTGTAATTTGATTTTAATATATAAAAAAATGTACATATATTTATTAAAATGATGCATTATTCAAAACTTACCCTCATAAATTATAAGATGATATTAGTTTATTTCCTTGTTTTTTTTCATCCAATTATTTTACCAATTAAAATAAATGTTATAACAATAAATTTTGAATAATAAATTTTATAAAATTAACAGCTATTATGAATAGAACACCAAGTTTTCGATAAGCTGCAAATAAAGAAAATTTGTTTATATAAATTGCAAACAAAAAATCTTTAAGCATGACTAAAAAAGAAATTAAAATTGAAACATATAAATATGCAGATGAACATTATGAAGATTTAATAAAAAAAATATATTAACTAGATTAAGAAAATCATAAACTTAGAGAATTATTGAAGAAGTCAAATTATTTACAATTTAAATTTGTAGATGTGTCTAAGAGTGACTTTGATTTTCACTCTTTTAGTGAAATAAAAAATAAAAGTTTAGATGTATTATATAATTAATAATTAGTTAAGTCTAGATGAATTAAAAGCTATAAACTAAGGAAAAAGTAATGATTTATTTTCATCAAAAAAAACATCCACTCCTAGACAAAGTTTAGCAGCAAAATAAATATCAATATAAAAATAAAGAAATACTTTAATAAACTCATACACATAAGATTTAATATAAGAGTAAACCACATTTGATTACTAAATACCAGATGAAGTTTAAGAGCAAGATAATTGTTTATCAGAATTTTATAAAGAATTACTTTTAAATGTAGTGAATAAAGACATGAAAATATTTAAATATATAGATTAAGTAGTATAATAGGAATTAAAATAAAACTTCTAATAAAACTATTAAAATTATGATAAGTAAAAGAATCTGTTAAGCAATTTAATTTAATTACTAAGCAATATGTAAAATTATTGTAGTGGAGAACATCCAGATAATCAATTTATAATGAGAACTTATAAATCTATGTAGCATATGATTGAATCAATGTTTAGAATGTTTGAAAAAATGAAGCTTCACATTTTACCTTTAAACAATATTTAACTAAACTTTTAGGAAAGAATAAGTGAGATTGATAAACTTTAAGAATAAACTGAATAAGCCTAAAATTAATTAAGAAAAGCAACTATAATAATTGAAAATTTAAGTTAAGAGAATCTTTAATTAAAAATACAAAATAAAGAGTATTAAGACTTTTTTACATAAATCAGTTATAAATTATAGATAAATGAAGATACTTCTTAGTTAAAATAAAGTTTAGATTGTTTGATGAATTAATGTATAGAAGGAATAATCAAATTACAAAATTATGAATTTTAAAAGTGTCGACCTATAGAAAAAATAAGTCCTGTAGAATGGGATTCAACAGATATATAATAAAAATTAAAGAAAATAGAGGAGAAATATGACAAGTTGAAATAAAAAAACAATAAAAATAAAGAAAAGTTTAAATTTTGTTTAAAAAGAATATATAATTGCTTTGAATAAAATATTAAGCAAGATAATTTTGAGAAATTAAAAATTGAAGAATAAGTATAATTATTGTGTTAAACAATAAAGCAATTAAATACTTAATGATGATAAGTTTATAAAATTTTAAATTATTCTATATAATTAAACATAGTTACTTTATGTATATGATAAATCAATTAATTTTAAGTCGGTTCACTTATTCTTAAGTTGATTTAACATCAAATTCATTTTCTCTATTCAATTTTGACATTGAGGTTTAACTTAAGTTTAGGCATTTTATATAATATGATGGAGTTTATACTCTCATTCTTTGTAAACTTCTGTTTCTTCATTTTGATGAGAATCAAGCCAATTATAAGTTTATTATATTAAATAAGTTAATTATCTTCTTTCATAATCAGAAAAATATACAAAACACTTCTTTCTTAATTTAAAGAAAATGAACTTACATCTAATAATTACTATTAACATTCTTAGGCCTTCCCTGTTAAAAGAGTCACTTCGATTGCAGCGCCATACGCAACTGCTTTATCTGGATTGATAGATTTATTAAGTTCTTTTCTATTAAAAAATTCTTTTAATAATTCTTGAAAAGATATGGAATGTTAAAGAATCAAATGAAAAAGTATTACTAGGTAGATCATCTTGAATAACAAAAATTAAAACCGATGGAGGAATAAATTTTAAAAATTAATCTAAACATAATTCTTTAATTTAACTCTAGTAATTTAACAATAAAAATCTTCATTTTCAGCAATAGAATCTATTTCAATAAATGTTTAATGTACTGAAGATAATATTCTTTTAGCTCTTTCACATTAAGTTCTTAATCTTCTAAAAGCCTTTGAATTTAACTTTAAATCTTATCATTTTTTCTTATAAAATTCTACAAAACAGAATTCTACCAAAATAATATCAAAATCTTCTCCACCTAAATGATTATCACCAGATATTTATTTTACTTCATATACCTCATCATCATCAATTATTGATAAACTAGCATCAAAGATACCTTCACCTAAATCTAATATTAAAAAATTCTATTCTCCTTTTTATATATTTCTTATGAATTACAATTATATATATTAAACTAGCAACTTATGTAGCTTATCTTTATGAATAATTAAAATAAGTTGAAAATGTTATTACAGCTCTTATAACTGGATAGTCAAGATATGTTTCAACCATTTCTTTCATTTTTTTCAAACCATCGAAGTTCTTCTGGATGAAATTTTATATTTTCTTCTTTATGTTTAACAACAATCATTGTTTATCATCTAAATTCACTTTCTACTTTGAATAGCCATTATTTCTTATCATTTTAAACATTAGGATCATTCAATTTTCTTCCAATCAATCATTTTGACATCAAATATTTATATTTTGGATTCCTTGTTGCTTACCTCTTTGCTGCATCTTGAATCAATCTTTCATTATCTGAAAAGAAAACATATGAGGGAGTGAATAATTTGCTATTATTTGAACTTTATGATTTATATAAACACTATACATGAGTATGAAGTTCCTAAATCTATTCCAATTACAAAGTTATTTGCTTGTGACATTATATTATTAATTGTTTTACTTTTTTATTAAATAAATCATTCTTCCTCTCCTTTCAACAATAATTAAAATCAAAAAGATAGAACCATCTAGTTTATAGAAAAATATAATAATTCTGCTAATTACTTTAAAACATTATTCTATTAAAATAAATCATTACACTTTAGATTCAAATTTCCTCCCTTTAATTTTTATGCAATTAAATAATTGAAAACTTTTTTGGTAAAAATTTTGTTGTTAAGCTAATATTTTTATAATTGAAAATGCTTAAAATAATATTTATATAAAATAGATAGTTACTATGCAAATCGGAAAATTTAAATTAGATCATTTGGTTGAAAAAAATAATGAATGCATAATTTATAGAGGTAGTTACTAAGAGGATAAATTCATGATATTATAATTGAATCGTGTAATGAATCAAATATTATTATAGTAACCATTAATGAAGGTTGAAATATATAATAAACATTTCTAAGAAGAACTTAATATGTTATTTAAGTATTCTCGAAAGCCAACAATAATACCTGAAGATTTTCCATTTGAAATACCTGAATCGGATGGATTAGATTCAGATTTAATTGAATTTCCTTAAATAGTTGAAATAAATCAAACAGATAGTCATTATTATTTCATTTTAACTAATTGCCTATAAGGTTAATTATTAACATAAGAAGTTGATAATCCAAAGTATAAATAGTACTAATATTTTATCATAGAACATATTTGCAGATTTACACACTTTATAATTATTACTATAAAGAATATTAAGAAAGAAGAATAAAAGATAGAGATTTTGCATTAATGAGAATTTTTAGAAGCGAAAATAAGTTGACATTGATAGATTTCGGTTTTGCAAATTTTTAAAAACAATTGCCTAAAAAGTCTTGGTAAATCAAATTAGGGGAACTCTTTAGTCATTTATGTTAATCGGAAGCTAAAATAAAAGGAAGGAATGTAATTAACACTTTATTAGCTGGAAAGTTAAAATGGGAAGAAGTCAGAGATTTTATTACAATATCTTTTGGTTTAAATGATATTGATTAAAGTTTATAAGAGAATCTCAATGAATAAAATGATAGAATAACACGATCTAATTCAATATATACAAAATAATAAACTTAAACATTGAGTATGTTTCCATAAGAAATTATTACTTTAAATTAAAATTCAGTTAGAAAAGCTTCTCCTTATAATAATAGTCATAAATAACAATCCAGAAATTCTACAATGATGCAAACTAGAATTATATCTTATGGTAATTAATAAAAAGAACATTTTTTAAAAATTAGATAATCTTTAAGTCCTGGATTTAGTGCAACTAATAGATTTCCTTGTAGACTATTATAAATTGATCATTCTATGCAATAATAAAGTCCATAAATTAGATCTGTTTCAAGAAAAGCTTAACATTTAAGCATATATGAAAAATAGCCAATTACTAAACCTTTAGAAAATTAGTTTGAATACAAAAACAAATCAACTCCAAGAGAACATTCTTAAAATCACTTAAATTAAATATAATAATTAATTGGAGATCAATATTAACCTATGTAAGAATAATAGAAATAAATCCAAAGAAAATTAATATCCATAACAACAAATTAATCCTAATATGAATAATCTTCTTATACTCCTACTATAATTTAAAGAGGCTAATCTTTAAATGAGAAATAAGATGGCTAATTTAATTAAAAAAATTAAGATTTAAGACCTAAATCCAGTAGAACTTAAGATTAAAAATAAGAATTTAAAACCCTTCTTAGAGCTTCTACCCGAGAACTTTAGTAACCTTCTTAAATTTAAAAGAAATCAAATTAAGAATTTCCAGTCAATAGAACAATAAATTATTCTGATACTTAATCATTATTTGATAATTTAGAAATTAAATAAATTAGAAAACCTTAGTCAAGAAGAAATTCTTCTAGAAAAAATAGTACATAAAGTATTGAAAAGATAGAGTTATCCAATTGTAGTGCAGCTAATCAATCATTATTAATTATTAATAATAATTAAGATAACAATCGATAATAATTTAAAACACCAAAAGATTAAAGATAAATGCAGTATTCCTTTTAAAATTCATAAATTGAAAATTAATATTTAAAAAAATAAAATCCAACTAATTTATAATAATAACCATATGAAATTTAGAATTTTAAGTAAAAGCCTGAAAAAATTAATTCAGATGAAGATAACTCCTATCTTGGTAATTATGAACCTTCTTTTGAATAACGATAAACTTAACCTAGAATTTAAGAAAATATTGAATTAATAAAAAACAATAAATTAAATGAGATTGAAATTCATAAATAATTTGATAATGAATAATAAATTAAACAAAATAATAAACAATATCAAATTGAAATGAAAGATTAAAAGGAAATTCCTTCATTTTGTAAAGATTAATAATAAGTAAAAAATTATTAAATCAACTAAAAAGATGAAATTATAAAATCAACTAATTAAGATTAAAGAATAATTGTTGAATCTTTAGATGGATATTAAAAATAGACTAGAATAAATAAATAAAATTCATCCAGATTACCTCCAACTCCAAAAAATGATTAAATAACAAAAGATTAAGGCAAAATTGACTTGTAATAAAATAATTATTTATAATATAATGAACAAAAACAATAAAAAGATAATAATTCTGAAGAAAATGCAAATAAATTATAAAGAATTGAAGATACTCCAAAATCAGACAAAAAAAAGAATTCTGTGTAATTATTATAAATTCATTAAAACATTTAAGAAATTAAGACAAAAATAGATGAAAATGAAGCAAATAGAATAGCTAAAATCTACGAAAATTAATTAAAGTAATAATTTTAATTTAAATAAGAAAGTATGATATTATCGGTAAAATGGTTGGTGGAAATGTGAAATATTTTTAAGCTTTAAAAAATTTTTGGATTGTTCCATTATTTCTTTGTTTTAAAAGAATGGTTAGCTTTAGAAAATTATATGAAGAGGGTTTGAGAGATAAAATAAATTTTTTTGATTTAGATATGGATAAAGTAAATTAAGTAGAAAAAATAAGAAATTTAGAAATAAAGTTAAAAAATGATAATAAAATAGTAGTACAAGAATTAGAATCCTTGCACACTTAGTGTTAGAAAACAGCTTAAAAATTTGAGCCAAAAGTAAAATATACATATAAATTGTTAATAGGAATTAGCAAAAATATAAAAGTTTTTAAATATGGATATGTAGTAGGATATCAAAGACATTTATTTTGTATACTTGTACACTTAGATATTTAGAACTTTATAAAATTTAAAAATGAAATGTGAATCTGATAAATAAAAAACATAAGAAAATTTAATATTGTAAGCTAGTTGTTTAGCTTCACTCATAATAAGTGAAATGCCTTTTAGTAGTGATACCAAGTTTTTTGACCTTGAAGAATTTGAAAAATTGACTGAGAGTTCATAATATAATTAATAATAATTAGAACAATACATAAAAACAAAAGATGAAGTAATTGGTCATTTAAAAAAAAGATTGAATTCTAAAGGGATTAAGATCTGAATAATTATTTAATTACATATTTTTCTATAAATTCATATAGAAATATATATATACGAAAGAATTATTATTGAGTATAAAAATAATTAAAGAAATTTCTGTAAAATATTTTAATGTTTAATTTATTCATAAGTAGATAATTAATTGAATAAAAACATAATTTTTTTTAAATAAAGGTTAATAATAATTTCTCCAAATATGAACTATCCTTATGGTTAATAAATGGGATAATATCCCTATGATCCTAATATAAATATGGTAAGATAATATAATATGTTAGATGGGTTTTGATCCCTAAATGTATTAAGAATATGCTTTCTATTATTTAGGAGGGCCTTAGACTCCTCCTCCACCTAAAGGACCTTATCCAGGTATTACTCATGAAGATTATGAATCATTTGATATTAATAAACAAATTTTGTTCTAAAGATTTTTAGGGGAGACAGCAGCCTATTATTCAAAACATTTACCAAAATATTAAAAAGAGATGGAAGAGTTTTTAAATACAAATACTGCTTATCAAATGAATGAATCAGAAAAATAACTGATGCAAAGCTACCTTGAATATAAGAAAAAGGAAAAAGAGTATGAATCATTTCTTAAATAATTGGAATAAACAACTCAAGCATTGAATCCTGAATTGGAATAATAAAAGTTATTAGAATAATAAAAATTAGAGTAATAAAAGCTTGAGTAATAAAAGTTAGAAGAATAAAAAAAGTAACAGTAATTAGAATAATAAAAATAACAATAATTACAATAATAACAAGAATAGCCTAAAGAAGGAACTACAACTACAGCAAGACCTAAAAAAAAGTTAAATTTAAATGCAAAACCATTAGAAATAGCTCTCAATCCTCCAAAAATGCCAATCTTTCCAAAATAACCAGATTTTTTGGATTTTGATAAATTTTGGAATAATTATTCAGCATATATTAGTTATTATAATCCAAGTTGTGAAGATGAGTATAAAAATTATCCAAAGCCAGAATAATAGAAAAAAAAAGAAGCAGATGAAGAAGCTAAAAGAAAGAAGAAATAAGAAGAAATTGAAAGAGCAATTTAAAGTAAAAAATAATTATAATTATTTAAGAACGTAAAGATGCTGAATAGAGAGCAAAAGATAAACCTGCTTAAACTTTAAATCTTGTTGAACAAGTAGTAAAATTAGAAGGAGAAGTAGATTTGTAGAAATACGTAGATGTATATATAAATAATAAACTTAGCCTGATGAAACAAGATAACCAGTCAATTTAGTATTTATTGGGCATGTTGATGCTGGTAAATCTACTCTTTGTGGAAGATTATTATTAGAATTAGGAGAAGTAAGTGAAGCTGATGTTAAAAAATACGAATAAGAAGCAGTTTAAAATAATAGAGATTCTTGGTGGTTAGCATATGTTATGGATTAAAATGAAGAAGAAAAATAAAAAGGAAAAACTGTTGAATGTGGAAAAGCTTAATTTGTAACTAAATAAAAAAGATTTATTCTTGCAGATGCTCCAGGACATAAAAACTATGTTCCTAACATGATTATGGGAGCATGTTAAGCTGATTTAGCTGGTTTAATAGTATCAGCCAAAACAGGTGAATTTGAATCAGGTTTTGAAAAAGGCGGTTAAACTTAAGAACATGCATTATTAGCAAAAAGTTTAGGTGTTGATCATATTATTATTGTTATCACTAAAATGGATACTATTGATTGGAATTAAGATAGATTTAATATGATATCATAAAATATCTAAGAATTTGTTCTTAAATAATGTAAATTTGAAAATGTTTATGTTATTCCAATTGATGCATTATCTGGATCTAATATAAAAAATAGAGTAGAAGAAACAAAATGCAATTGGTACAAAGGTCCTTCATTAATTGATTTAATTGATACCGTTGCTATACCAAAGAGAAATGAAGAAGGACCAATTAGAATGCCAATATTGGATAAATTTAAAGATTTAGGATCATTATATATTTATGGTAAATTGGAATCTGGTAAGATTATTGAAGGATTGGATGTTTCAATATATCCAAAGAAATAACCTTTCCAAATTGTAGAACTATATAATATGAAAGATTAAAAGATGAAATATGCTAAGGCAGGTGAAAATATTAAAATTAAAGTCAAAAATATTGAAGAAGAAGATATTAAGAGAGGATATATGATGTGCAATTTAACATCTAATCCATGCTTAGTTTCTTAAGAATTCTAAGCCAAAATTAGACTTTTGGATTTACCAGAAAGTAGAAGAATATTTTCAGAAGGATATTAATGCATTATGCATCTTCATTCAGCAGTTGAAGAGATTGAAATTTCATGTGTTGAAGCAGTTATAGATGCCGAAACCAAGAAAACAATTAAATAAAATTTCCTTAAATCCTTTAATGAGGGTATAGCTAAAATATCTGTAAAATTATTTAATAATTTAGATTAAAAATCCAGTTTGTATGGAAAAATATGAAACAATCACTCAATTAGGTCGATTCGCTTTAAGAGATGATGGAAAGTAAATATTTCTATTGATTATTTTAGAACTATTGGATTTGGGGAAATTTTGAAAGTTAAACCAGTTAAATAAGGTTGATTTTGATTTTTTATGTTTTATTTTAAAAAGTACATTTGTAAACACAAATTTTATTAATTTCTAATCTATCTTACAAATATAAGACTCTTTATTTTATTACAATTTTTATTATTCATTTGAATAAGATTATTAAAAATGATACATGAATAAAATTATATTATTAAAATAAAATATGCTAAACTTTTAATAAAAATAAATTTATTAATTGAATATAAATATGATTAATGACTCTGAAAGTGTAAATGAAATACTAGATAAAATTAACAAAGGATCATCATCAACACCTTCTTCGATTAAGTAATTGAATTTTAGGAAAAAAAAAGTATCAACCAAATATTAATTTTCCTCCATAGCAAAATTTGCAATAATCATGTAGCAAATATTTTTACTTTTCGGGTGTTTATATTTAACAATCTAAAAAGTAATATATAGAATTCCAATGGAATGTTATTTAATTTACAACCACTCCTTATGTAAAGTCTTTTTGACTGGAATCTATGTAATTGTATTGTTAAGAATCATAAGAAATCTATTAAAACTTTATAAGAAGAAAGAAAAGTAATACAAATACCTCTTTCATAGTAACTTATTCAATTGTGATGTAACTCTTTAGACTTTTAGATATTATATGGGAATTAAATGCTATATAATATTATTATTTATAATATAATTTATGATAGAAAATTATTTAGCCATAACAGTTACATAAATTTGGAGTAATTAAATTAGTGAAAACTCTGGTGCTTATTTCATGATAACGATTTTAATGTAAATAGTAATTTGTGATATTACTTATGAATATTTTATGATTTTTTCAGGAAGATATGGTATAGCAGATAGCAGACATAATTCAATTGTGATTAATAAATAAAATCTTTTTGATGCAATTTGTAAATTCAAATTGTTAATTTATTGTTATAAATTTTACAAGGAAACAAAATGGAATTATAAAATTTACACTAGAAGTAAGGGAATTCCTTTATTTTGATATAATGTAGAGAATATAAAAAATTTAGGCATGCATTAATAATATAGGAATGGATGCACTATGATTTTTTATGTTAATAAATATATTTTGTATATAAATATTTTACAAATATTTTTATATGATAAATATTTCAAGTAAGCAAGACATTCCTTCATTTGTTAAAGAGTAATTAAGAAAATAAACGATAAGTCCAGAGCCACAAAAACATAGATAGTTAAATTTTCATAGAAGATTAACAAGTTCTTAGTTGGATGGAGGAATTTGTAACAATAATATTAGTCAGAAGAAATCAAATAAGTAATTGTCAAGTACTAATTTAATTACTAAAAAATAAGTGCATGGATTATAGTAATTATTAAAGACTAGTCCTTATAATAAATTAATACAACAGAAATCATAATCGCAAATGTTGATTTAAGAAAGCTTTTCTCAACAATATCTCAAAGATACAAGTGCAGCTTATACTCCTAATTAATAAGGATCTCTCTAATAGAACTTTTTTAATAAAGTTGGTCTCTCTTAAAATTCGACAATGTCAAGTAGTGTAAAACCTCGAATGAGAAGTGCAAATAAGGAAATTTTAAAAAGAAAATTGATGGCTGAAACAACGCAATTACTTTCTAATAGAGAAAAAGACAAGCAAATAATATCTTAATTGTAACAAATAATTATTCGCACTAATTCTCTGTTATTGCATTATTAAAGTGAAATTTAAAAGCATGTTTCAGAAAAGGAAGAATTAATTAAGTAGATAAAATAATTATAATCTTCATGATATTTGTTTTAATCAACTCTTTTTTTGTCTAAATATAAATAGTTTAACGTAATATTTTTTAAAATTAATATTTTTACCATGGCTCAACTTGACATAAATAAAAAAAAAACAAACGATTATACTTATACAGAATTATTGGAAGAGGTTGATATTCATAATATTACTTATAGAATAATATGTTAAAACGCAAATTGTAAGATTTAATGAAGCAATTGAAATAATTTGAATAGGAAAGTAAAGGGTTATAGTATGAGAATGAAATTTTACAAAAATGTTTGGCTCAATAAAAGAGTAATTCGTAATAAGAAATTAAAAATAAATAAGTAGAGGATCAAATTGCTTAATTATAAGCAGTTCATTAAAGAGAGAAGGAATATTGGATAAGAGATCAATAAGAATAAGTGAATAGAATCAAATAAGTATAGGAGTAAACAAAGAGAATTTTATAAGATAAAATAGATAATTTGGAAAAGGAGAATGAATTTTTATAAATGGAACTTGAAAACAATAAAACTATAATTGAAAATTATGAATTTTAAATTGAATAGAGTAATTAATATATATTAAAATTTAGTTCAATAAAATCATAAGGCTGAATTAAGTAATTTGTAGAGAGAATTGAAATAAAAGTAGTATAGTATAGATGAATTAAAATTGTAAATATAAGAATAAGGAATGATATCTTAAAGAAGCAATAATAATTAGGAATTATTAAATAAATTAAAAGAGGCTATGTATGGATTATAATAATTTTAGAGATGAATTAAATAAATGTAAGAAGATTATATCTAATCAACAATATGAAATTCAATTGTAATGTAAACTGTTTGATGAATTAAGGTAAGATTATCAAAAGAAATTATGCAAAGAACGATCTAAATCATAAATGAGTTTTAAAGCAGCATAAGAGGTCAAAAATGAATATGAGAAAAAATATTGTAATTTAATGGAATAAATAATTAAAAACTAAACTTCAAAAAGTTGTAATGCTTCATTTAAATTGTTGCCAAGTTCTATGGATTAAACAATTAATAATGATTATTCTAGAATTTCAAATAATTAATCAAATAATATGTATGTATTTTATTTAATTCACATTAGTGGAGGTTTAAGTGCAATAAATAAAGCTTTAAGTGATTCAATAGATGATTATGAAAAGAGTATTTTAAATAATATATCTGGAAATGCTACAAAAAGAAAGCCAAGTAAATCAGAATGGGAGAGAAAATAAAAAGGATAATAAAATATTGTGATTAGTGTAACTCCAGAAAATTAAATGCGTCCTTAATCTTAATAATAGGAAATATGTATAATTATTATTAAATAAACTAATTAGTTTCACCTAAAATATCTTAAAAGAGAGCATAATCTATTCATTCAAGTAAAGGAATAAAACAATATACATTTAATTTATGTGAATATAATGAATCTCGTGCTTCAAATGATTCTGATCAATTTTATAGTTAATGTACATAATAAACAAGATAAAGTAAATTAACGTTAAAACCTTAAAAATGTGGAGGTGATGTAAAAAGAAACTCTAAACATTAAAAATCACTTTCTACATATAGAAGTGTAAAAGATAAAGAAAATGTTTAATTTACTATTCCAGAAGAGAATTAAAAGATAAATAGTATAAATACGAGTAAATAATTATAAATTTTGGAAGATAAAAATGAGAGATTAGACACGAACACAAAATTTAATTCTTTATTAAAAGTAATTTGAATATGCTATTACATTTATTTTTACAATTATATTTTATTATCATTAATTTAATGTCATTATAAAGCTCTATCATAGCAAATCCATTAAATGATAGTTCAAGTGATGATAATAAAAATGAGTATGTTCGTAATGGTTAATCTGAATAAGATGAACAAGAATAAGTTGAATAAGAAGAATATCCTATAAATCCATTAGAATCAGATGAAGAAGGAAATGAATCAGCAGTCTTATAACATTTAATCAATAATGATAGTATTCAATAAAATAATATTTAGAAGAAGATCATTCTTCAAAAAGCAATGAACTTTCAAATCCAATGATAGAAGATGATCCAATCTCATTAGAAAATATTCATAATCAAAATTTTGCATCAATTGGTTAACAATATCATGTTTGTTAAACAGTTTTAGATTGCAATAAAACAATTGAATTATAATAGGACTAAAATCCTATATATTCATGTGATGAATTGCTAGATCCAAAATAAAGTAATAAAGAGAAATCAAAAGAATAAATAAAGAATCTTGAAAGTCAATTGGAATTAATATTAAAAGAGAACCAAATGTTAAAAAGTATAATTATCATTATAATTGATTCAAAGAACAGCTACTAGAAAAAGAGATGTATTATATAGAATAAGTCAAAATAAAAGATCAAGAATTAACTACTTTAAATGAATAAAATAAAAATTTGATTGATAATAATTCTGAGTTAAAAGGAAAAGTGTCTAATTAATAAAATGAGATTTACTCTTTATAATAGTAAATCAACCAATTATAATCAGAATAAATTATATAATAAAGATCTAAAACAGGAGCTGAAACAACAAGATATGACCCTTAGGTATAAAATACTTAAGAATTTAAGGATTTACATAAAGCAACTAGTTTAAATGATTAAGCAATTGCAAATTTGAGTGCTAATTAATTAGAAGTAAGGAAAATACCAACATTAAGTATTGATATTCCATCAGCATTTTCTACCAAACCTAAATTACCAATTAAAGATTAATTCCTTTTTAAAAATGGAACATCTAAAAATTATCATTTAACAAGTATTTTAAAATTTTATCTTTAAGCTGAGGAATCTAAAAAATAAAGACTACACAAAATGCCTAACAACTAAAGATCATTATAAGATTTAATCCATAAAGCATAAATAGGCATAGCATTTTCAAAAACAAATAGTATAATCATTATATAATAACATAAGCTTCATCTTTGTAAAAGGTTTAGGGTTCAGGATAACTATTTTTTGAAAGTAATTCTACCAAGCGCAATCAATAATAAATTTAATTAGCATCTAAATAATGATCTCCCAATTAAAAAAAGAATCATAAAGTATAATTTTTATCAATTTTTTAATTTAATCAAATTTTACTAATTCATTCATAGATTTCATCTAAGATATAACTTTTATAGTTTAAAATCATAATTCCATTTCCATATCCAAAAATTTCGATAATTTAGAATATGATAATTTACTTTAACAATTGCTATTGTTTTTACTATACCATCATAATGAAATCCATTCTTCTTTTTAATGCTATTAATAGTAATACAGTCTCATATTCTTGAATTAAATTGAATCTTATTCTAATGATTATTTTTTAAAGCATTTTTATAGCAGAAAATTCCAAAAAAGGTAGGAAATTATGGTCTAATGGAATAAAGCATTATAAATTTTTAGTTGGTCTTATGTAATCCAATCTTTATTTATTTAATCAATGTTTATTTTCTTTTCTGTAATTTATGACAATTGCAGTTATTATTTCTTTTCTTCTGGTTTTATTCTTAGCATAATACAATTTAATCCTAATACATTTTTTATCCTTAACTTCTTTATGATAATTATTAATTTACAGCACACACAATATATAAGAATTAGTTTCACTTATATACTTTAGATAATTCAAATATGATGAAAATGAATGGAATAGAACTACAATAGCAATCTCATTAGCATATTATTTGATTAATGAATATAAATCATGTGTCTATAATTAGTTTATAATTTAAATATTATATTCAATTTGATAACTCAAATCGCCTAAATTTAGATTTATAAAATAAAAGAAAGTAAAGTTAAAATGGAGTAAGTATTAATAAAGATAACCATATACCATAATCTATTATTGTTGGCAATACTAATATGTAATTTAAAGCAAAACCCAAAATCTAAGTCTATTTTTGAATTGTACATTTGCAATTCCTAATATCCAGGTGCTTACTATCAAAGACTTTAATGGATACAACTTTTCTACAAATGCTTCTATAGCTATTGGATATATAACATTTAATCCTATTCCATTCATAATATTTAATATTATCAAAACCCAAAAAGGTAAGTATGATATTAAAAAGGCTAATAATAGTAAAGCCAAAAAACCCATAGAAGTTGTATACTTTATAATGATATCATAATCTGGCAATTTTCCTTATCTTGTTTATAAATCTAATTTAAATGAGATCCATATTCCAGCTATAATACCTGACCCTGTAAAAAAGATTCCAGCAATCCCTACCTCTAATTGAGTATACCCAAAAGGATACAATTATAAAGAAATAACAGATATATAAACCCATGAAATCCCAATAAACATTGCAAATGCTAAAAGATCTAATAAAAATTCTTCTATTCTGAAAATTTCAAAGAATTATTTAAAAAATCCTAAATTTTCCTATAATTTCATAATAATTTTTTACTTCAACATTTCTAGCTATTTAATTAGTGTTTCTAATAAAAATAAAACAAAATGGAACACATATTGTATTTAAAATGGCAATTATAAAGTTCATTTCTTCAATTTTGATATTAATAATTTCTTGATCTATTAGATCCCAAAACTAAAATGACGAATATGTATATGAAGCCATGATTCCTGCTAGAGTAGCATAACTTCCTAAACATGTTGCCAAAGTACGATCATAAGCAGTAAACCATATTTCAGATAAATCTATAAAAACGATAAGGTTTAATAATTACAAACAGGAACTGCTAAAAATAAAGCCTCACTTACTCCTACAAAAAAATATCCAACTAAACACATAAAAAAACTTTGCTTTCCAAACCAAACCATCCAAGCCCCTGCAGCTGTTAAAATTGAAGATACTTATAAACATAAATCAAGTCTCTTCTCTAATAAAGGAATAAAAGGAGGACCAAATACAAAAAATGTTATATAATATAAATTTCCTATCCAATACAAGTCATTAGCTTCAACATCATAATAGATTGCTGCATTTAGCCAAACAGGTGAATAACTCACAAATCCAAGCACATTTGAAAATCTAACAATAAAATCAAAGTATACGCTAAAAAACTGTAAGCAAATAAAACAAACCACTTCATTCTTTTTGATTCCTTAGAAGAAATTTATTCATTATAGTATATTTCAACTTGATTACTTTTAGACATCACTCTTCTTAAATAAAACAGATTAATCTGAATTATAATAAATATTTTTAGTTATTTTTCTAAGTTTTAATATTATTCATTATTTTTTAAATTTATTGAAGAGCTCACTTCTATGATATCTTTATTTATAAGATAGAATACAATATAACTCAAAAAGAATAAAAATTGTTAAAGTTATTCTTAATCTATATTTCAAAAATACTTTAGACATTAGAAATATTAAACAATGCAAATTTATCTTGAGCTTTTTAAAAAAATATTCAAGGCAGAAACAATTTGTTTATTTATTTTTGGCAAACCTTTTTTTTTACAATTATAGTATGCTATAAAAATAACAATAATTTTATTGTGTTTTCCGTTGAATTTATTTTATGTTTATTCATGAGCGATAAACATATTTAAAATATTCTATTTTTTGCTGCTAATTAAAAGTAACATATGAGTTTTAAATATTAGAGAATTTCTAGGATAAAATTTTTTACAATAAATGATTCAATCTCAATAGGATAAATAACATTTAAGCCTTTGCCTTGGAAATATTTTATAAAATTAATTCATAAATAGATTGCTTCAAGAATGAGAACAAAAATCCAAGTAAAGAAAGAAGTTATTTAATTTCTTAGCTTAATTTAAAAGAAAATTGAATTCCTAATTAAGTAGGAGAGATTTTTTTAATTCCAACTTTCAATAATGTAAATCTAAAATAAAAAATTAAAAGAAATTTCAGATATTTAACCCATTCGATTCCAAATAAAAAAGAAAATGTTATTTGATCAAATAAAATTTTAGCATTTTTGAAAATGTTGAAAAATTATACAAAAATATTTGATTTTTTCTAAATAAAATCAAAAATAGTATACATCTGTTGGTTTCTGAATTATTTCTTAAATTTATCAAGACAAAAGTAATTAGAATTAAAAGAGAGTATAGAATTTTTAAGATTAAATTCAGATTCTTAATTTAATCGTTATCTATATTTAATTGTTCAATCCATATATGCAAAATGATGAATAATAGTAAGAAATCATGATATTAGTGTAAGTAGTATAGTGTAAAAGCAAGTTGCTGATATTCAGTTATAAGGAGTTACCGAGACTTCAGATAAATCTTTTTTATTAATAAATAATTATAAATAATTATTAATATATAAAATGGTCCATTTAAAATAGAATGATTTTCCGATTCCCAAAAAAGGTATTTGATTAAATAAGCAAAACAATTGAATTATACTACTACTAAAGTTTCTATTGATCAGAATAATATGAAACACAGGTCAAATCTTTAATCTAGGAAAAGAATAAATTGTATATCAAAAATAAACAATTTTATATAATATATTTTGCTAGTACAATGAAAGTTGAGATTTTTTAATAGAATGCCGAAGAATTAGAAATAGGAAATTTAAGTTAAAAATAAAGGAGATTAATAAAGAATTTAAAAATTTTATGTAATAATGGATTCCCCATAAAGTTTTATTTAAATATTATGATTATATAAATAATCTAAAAATTTAATATGTTGTATTTTTGATCTATTATTTAAATAAAGAAGAAAATAATTCTATAAAAGAATACATATAAATAATATTCCTAAAATTAAAAAATAATATTTATGGGTTCTTATAAATCTAAAAATCATAAAGTGGACATTAATACACTACCAGTTGTTGAGCCTGAACCTGATTATGTGATAAAAACAAGACAACCTATGCCATCTAATTGGTAATTGAATATTTTAAGAGGAAAGAGGGAAGATGAATTAAGAGGATTGTCATATGCATATGCTAGGTAGAATGAGTGGATAATTTAGACGAAAATGTCATAAAGCAGTGAATGATTTGCTTCAATGTGAAAAGAATTATGGTTCTTTTTGGGCTGCATTTGATTGTTAAGCAGAGAATCATGATATGAAAGAATGTTTAGCTCATGAATTTGAAGTAGAAATGGATAAATTAAGAAGAAATATGAAAATGAATACAGAATGGTGGTGGAAAGATCTTTATGATGAAAATGGAGAAGTTGGAGAATAAGCTAAATGGAAAGATGAATATTGGTTATTACCAATAATTAGAAGCTATAAAGATTTATTTTATTCAATGATATCATAGAATAATTGATATAAATATATATATATATATTTATCTATGATTATTTTAAAAATTCTAATCAAGTTGTTTTATATGAAAATTCTGCACAAATCGCCAAAATTAATAAACTAGCTACATGTTCACTTACTTATATTATTATATATTCTTTGCGTTTCATTTCCCAAGCAAGTGCTGATAAACCATTAGGTAAAATAATGCCTCCCACTATAATTAGTATTAATTGGAATGTCGAACTGTAGTCCTAGTATTAAAATATCTCAATCATTTATATACTTTTAAGTTGAGATATTGATAAAATAGTATGAAGCAATAACATTTAACAAATCGCGCCAAAATTTCAATTATTTAGCCATTTGAATTATCATTCTAAAATGGTTATTTTATTTAAGCTCCAATTTTCCATTGTAATCCAAAACAACTATCTGAATACCAAAAGTGTCCTCAATTCTTTATAAATGAATACCAAACACTGATGTGAGAAACGTTCCTATTGCAGCTGGTAAAATTTATTAATACATAAATTAATAATCATTCTTCTAAATGAAATTCCATTAGTTCATCCAATTTTAAATAATTAGAATTATATTCTCGTAAATCTGAATAATTTAGAGCTTCTTTCAAATAATCTATCAATGCTTTTAATTCTTAATCATTTTAATCATTATGCCATTCCAATATAGGAATTCCATTTTCAATTTAAAATCCAAAAGAATGTGCTAAATTATCAATTATTAACATATCCTTAAGTTATTTATTACCAATCAATCTTAAATCTTTAATAAAAAATCCATTTTTAGTTTCCATACAATTATTTCTAGATAATACTCCAGATATATATTGTTTTTTTGGATCTAAATAACTAATGATAGCTTAAGCATATGCTTGTGATGATGCCGTATAAATATATATTGTATAAAATTAAGAAAGTGAAGAGAGGAATAATGAAGTATATGGACGTATATTTATTCCAATCTAAATAATTATTAAATAATTATACTTTTGCTTCTTCTCCAAATTCTCCTACTGCTGTTACATACACTTAAGGATTTTCTCTCGGAGCACAAGAATGAATTAAAGTCTCATCTAAATCAAGGATTAGAGTCTTATCTTTTTTTGGTATTAGTTCATTTAAATATACTTTTTTTGATTCAATAAATTTATCAGAAGGTCCTTTTAAACACTTTCTAGCATATATTAATCCTCTTTATGTAAGAAGTAAATGCTTTTTAAATGATTATTCATTAATATATTGTCCAAATATTAAATGACGAAAAGGATGCTGAGCTACTTTATCTTTTTAATTCATTTGTTGATTCTTTTTATTTTACTCTTAGTCAGAATTTGTATTCAAATTTTACATAGATGTTGTTTATCTATTCATAACATACTTAAATACTTTGCTTTTGATAATTTTGGATTAGCCTATGCTTTTTAGGAGAGTTTTTATTAAATTCTTTAAGCTTACTCTTCAATATTGTAATTAGCTTCTTAAAAATTTTATTCAACTGGCTCATGATTGTTTTCTGTATCACTAAAATTAGGTTCATTTTCTACATCACCATCTATTCTTTTTGTATTCACTAAATTACTAAATCTAGACATCTTTGCTGCTTAAGTCAAAATTTGAACAAGTACTTGTATGTTATTATTAAATATTTCTTTAACTCTTAGGTGTACCTCCTTCTGACTCATCTGTTTAGAATCCATTTTATTTTATTATTGGTTTACCTCTCAATTTATTATCTGGTGTTGGTGTATTGTCTTAAGAATTAGAAGATTCTCCCTCCTCTTCACTATAAAATTAAAGCTTTTATTCTTATGTTATCACCTACTTTAAATGACCTACGTGAGATTTTGCCTTAAAACTTATTAACTTGTCCATTTATTATTAATATTGACGATTTTTCTTGATTTATCAATTATTAATCAAAAAATCAGCCCAGTTTAAACTGTTCTCCTATTAATATACACATTATATTATACATAGAAACAATTAAAATTATTAGTTATTTTTATATCATTAGATTTATTCAAAAAATAATAAGAAAATATAGAGTTATCTGATATATTACAAAAGAATCATTAATTATTTAGAATGAATTATATTATTTCAATTTATAATAATTATTATTATTAAACTAATATTTATTCATTCATATCACTTTATTTCTCAATCTCATTTTCAGAATTAAATCCACTCTCAATTAATTATTTTTATTGATATATTTATAAATTCTATGCTTTCTTTATTTTAGTGTTTAGTACTTCTTATAAATAGTTGAATAACTATTTATTTGAGTATAATTATGATTTTTAAATCTTATTTATTTAAACAATCCTAATTGTTAGAATTTATTGATCTATAATATTTGAAGATTAGTTTCCTTATATTGAATGTATAATTGATGCTTAATCTAAATATGAAGTATTGATTATACAGGAGAGAAAATGAATAAGTTAAATTATCTATGAGTTTAGGTAAATGCTAGAAGTTTAGAAAAGTTAAAAATGATTTAGATGACCAATATTATAAAATGATTTAAAATCTAATTATAAAGTATGAATTTGAAACAATATTGCATCATAAGTTTATGAATTAATGAATAATCAGTGCTATTAATAAGTTATAGTGCGTAATAAATTATAAAATTAATGTATTATTTAACATAAATTATATCGTCTTATTAAAATAATAATTAAATAATTAAGATGTCTGAATCCATTTATATAGTTAGCACTAAAAAATATCTAAAACCAATAATAGAAACTCAAATTATTGGACTTTCTAGAGTGATAGTTGGATTACCAATAGATCATGTTTTTGATAGATTTAAAACTTTAGTACAAGCTGAAAATACCCAATTATCAATTCAATAACTTTTTAAAGAAACTTATAGAAGAAATGGAGTATTAAAAGGTATCTTTGCTGGATTTTCATCTTAAATAAGCATTCAATTGTTTAAACAATATTATAGGTATATATGAATTACTAATCCTATTTTTAGATGGCCTATGATGATCTTAATTCCAAAATATTATAAAGAACTCTTACCATAATCTTAAATTGAGAATCATCCAGCATTACATAAAGGTTTGGCAGGTGCAACAATTGCGATATTTGAATCCCTTGTAACCTGTCCTTTAGAAAGAATTAAATGTCAATTAATGACTCAACATAAGTCAAAATCAAGTATCTAAATTTAATTTATCTTTTCTAGTCATTAAATAATTATGGAAAAATGAACATCAATTTTCACATTTTGTCAAAAATGTTTATACTGGAATGGAAGCAATGATATTAAAATAAGTAGTTTCTTGGACTAATTATTTATATTGGGATCATAAAATAAGATACTTATTCAAAGAAAGTCCTAATTAAGCACTCACTTTACAATAAATAGCTATGTGTAGTTTATTGACTGCCATTCCAAATATTTTATTTGTTTAACCATTTGATTCTGTTAAGACTGCGTATTAAATGGAAAACAACTCAAATTATAAATAATTAACTATTCCTCAAGCCTTTCTCAAAGTGTATTAAGATAAAGGATTTAAAGGATATTATGCTGGATGGTAATTAAGACTCTCACAATTTATTGTATAAGCAGCCTTATCTACTCCAGTAATGGATTATTTGGAAAGATTACATGGTCTTCCAAATGATTTTTGAAATTAATATAAAATACTTTCAACTGATTATTATTATTATTATGGCAATAATTATTATCATTATAATTAATCATTATTTAATCGACTTTCTTGTCTCAACTATTGATCCTGTTAATTATCTTGATAAATTAGGTTTTGATTGTCTAAGTAGTGGTTATTCTTGTACTACTTAAATTTATTATTTGCTATGACTAGATTATTATGAATCATAGGATTCTGCTATCTAGGGATTATATCTTTATTGCTGATATTCATTTTATTGTTGATGTTAATATTCCATTTAAGGATAAATGTTTTAAGGTTCAGTTGTTTTAGCAAATTAAGATTATTATTATTGATAATAATTATCATTATTTACTGGTTATTTTATATCAAATTAACCAGTTAATTATTTGGTAATTTACTAATCTCTGAGAATTTGAGATTATCTAGGTTACTAATAATTCGATCCTTTTAAATAAGACTCTTATTATTATTATTCATATTATTATTTTATTGATTATTAAGAATACTATTAATAGTTATTATAGGTTTGATTATAGGGTTTAGCCTATTCAGTATTTATAGATTCGAATAACTGTTAATGAGAAAAAGAGGCTGTATTCTTATTGATAGGTCGTTGAGGATATAATTTTTAATTTGAATTGGCCAATTCAATTGGTTCTACAACACTTTAAATAGGCTTTTCATCAATCTCTTATTAATTATATTCATATTCCTCTTCACCTTAATGATTTTAATATTAATTAACTTCTTATAATAAATACTATGGAGCATTATTTCTTTAATAATAAGATGATTGTTTATTAGATTAAATTTCTTACTTCTAATCACTTAATTATAATTGTAGTTCCTTTTAAGTAATTGGAGTCAGATTATTGTAAATTTAATAACTTCTAGTTGGTTCCCATTAAGTAGATTTGACATTTTTCCCTGGTGTTCTTTGATATCTAACTTATGCGTCTTAGCTTCTTGATAATGCTACCTTAGCACGTTATTCGAGAATCTCCATTTATTCATAAATATCAGTGGTATCAATTATTTTACTCTGTGCTATTTATGGTTCTTATATTTTATTAGAAATCTAATTAGACTATCCAAAGTTGATAGAATAATTAGGAGAATATTCTTATATAGTAGATTGCTTATATATAGATTTCAATAATTTACTCTAAAATAATCCTCTAATTAAAATCTGAAACCTATCAATAAGTTATTAGCTGAATATGAATTGGGTCTATTTTCAGGAGCTAATTATAATAGTTAACATATTATAGAACACAATTATTCACTATATAATGTTTTCATTTCTCTTATATAATTATCTAGTTTATCAGTAATTATGAGATAGTTGGAATAATCATAAATATCATTGATACTATTGAGAGTAGCCATTTATAATGCTGTTAATCCAGTACTAAAGACATCTGATTTATCTAAATCATATGTTGGTCTCAAGACTCTTTATTTTAGGAAGGATAATTATTCTGGACTTAAATTATAGGAAGCATGTTATTTAGCGACACATCTTCTAAATGCATTCATATCTGTCAATTCCTATATGTCAGTCAATTTGTAAACTGGAAGAGGTTCATTCTATCGATAAGCACTTTTCTTCGGAAACGAAGTTACACTTATTGTTAATGGACGTATATCTCCATGCGATTTCTATTGCTTATTTAATTTTTATAATGCTACTAACTTTATATTTATAATATAAATTTTATACTGTGCAATGAATCATAGCAACTATTTCGATTTCTTCAAAATGTTGTTTTGTAGCATTCTATTCACTGATTACTCTTTCCAAATATTCATCAAAATATTCATAAACACTATGAGCTTATGTCAACTAGGTACATAATTCCTTTTCTGTGACATGTTATAAATCAATCATTTAGATTAAAAACAAATCCTTATCTTTTGAAGCAATGTTCACTTCTGCTGATTATTTAAATTTAAGCCATTATTCTTCATCTTACAAAATATGATCTTTCACAGCTACAGTGTGTCCATCATTTAATTTATAAACTTTTATTTCTCCATATCTGATATCATTAACCTATTTCCAAAATTGCAGTTAACTGATTTTTGGAACTTACATTCTAGATTGCTATAAATTTGAAGATTATGATTATCCCATGCTGTTAAAATTTTATTTAATAATAAATTATCTAGAACAAAATTTCAATATTATAGTATATTATGGTCAAAGTTCAAAGAATTTGATTTATATTCTTGAAATATTCATAATCTTTTTGGCTATATTATCCAATCATAAATAGGATTTTTATTGAAAGTACTTCTTTTAACAATAAACTATTTACCAATTTTACTAAGTTTTCCTTCAGCTAAATCCTTAAATGGTATATTATATTAGGATAGATATATAAGACAATCTTTATGAATATTTAGAAATATAAATTACTTATCATTATCTTCTTTGACTCATAAAGCAAGAGTGTTATTTTAGGATACAAATAATATAAGGATCTTTAAAGTAATCATATTTAATCTTTATTGAAGCAATCATAAATTTTGGATTCAATTTTATGTTGATTATAATCAATTAAGGCACTCATGAATAATTACCTTTTCATAATATCAATTCAAAGTTATTCAGTTCAATTATATCAACAAGTTTAGATATCAAAATGATTAATTAATACAATAGAACGATTCCAAACAGCTAAAATTTAAAAATAGTTTTAGCAGATAATCCCATAACAAATTTAATTTTCATTAGCTATAATTCTTAACATTTTTATCTATAGCCTTTATATGATAACCATATCTATTACTACTTTTTATAATATCAACTTCGGTTAAATGTTTTTGACCTAAAGAAGTTCTATTATAATTTCTAACTCCTCCTTTCAATTTATTTAAATCTCAATTTGTTTAATGCTGCACTATGAAAATCACCTCAACCAATATAGATTATTAATGTTTCAATTCTTGTTGGTTTATCTGCTTTTGATCTTAATTTTTTATGAAGCTTTCCTCCTCATTCATTAACCTATCCAATATCTAATAAACATAATGTATGATAGTGATAGTCTTCTGTCACTACTTATGTAACCAACAATCCTTTCATTTCTATAAAATTAAGAAGTTTGAATAAAATGGTTAATAGGCATCTTCAAAATCTAATTTACTTAAATTATTATTTAAATTTGAATTAACTACACCATGTAATGCAGAATAACAAATAAATAATTAACCATTTTATGTTATTAATCATGAATGATTTAAGTATGAACTTATTGATTATACTATTTGATTCTTGGATCCTTTTATTGATTTAGGAATATTAATTTTCTTTTGATTGCCATATTCAAAACTATAATTATCTTTCTGACTATTGGTAATTCGCCATCTTTTTTCCTTCCCATTAATATAAATATATTATGATAAATAATCCATAATATTTATTTTATATTAAAAATAAATTAATAATTAAAAAAATGGTAGTTGAATAACTAATATTTATTAGAGATAATTATTTTAATCTCTATAAAATATATGTAAATGAAGCACTTAGATAATAAGATAAGAAAGGATGAGAATGTGTTTTTCAAATTACTTCTTTTAAAATTGAAAGAAATAACCTCCAATGGTACAATGTGATTACAGTCTTTCAGAATTTATTTATACTAATATTTGATAAATGAATACTGTGAATGAATATAATAAAAATATTATAAGGAAGAATAAGAAATGATGAACAACAAAAAGAAAGAAATCTATGAGGATTACCTATTGAGAATAACATTATAAAAAAGTATGAAATAAAAAGAATCATCTCCTAAGTTGATATGATATAAAATTGTAGAAAATGTTATGATAAAGTAATATGAATGTATATATATATCTTGACTTCCGTTTTGATTGTACTATCTTTTTATCTAATTTATTAAAAATAAATGAGTGAAGATTAGCCTGAAGCAAACAGGCTATCAGTTAAATAATTGGCTGGAAGATTTCAGTCAATGATGAAAGCTACACCTATCTAATAACAATAATAGCCTCCTCCTAGAAAATCAGAAGTTATTGTTAGAAACCCTTAACAATTATAATAATAATTTAAGGAGGATACTAACAAAGTTCATAATAAACTTGATATTACTGAAAATGAAGCAGATTCTAATCTTAAACCCACTGATAATATTGATCAATTATATAAAACTATTGAAAATCTATAAAAAGATTGTAACAAAAAAGATCAAAAAATTTCAGATTTATAAGAAAATTTAGTTATCATCTCTGAATAAATGAAATCTAGAGAATCTAAAATTAGAGAAGAAGTATAATAAGAAACTAAAGAAACTAGTGAATTTGGAAAAGAAAGGGTTAAACTTATTGCTGAATTACATAAATGCTAAGTTGATCTCTAAGAATCTTAAAAATAAAATGCAAATAAATTCTCATAAATTTAATAGTTAACTAATAAAGCTACTTAAATATAAAATTTATCTAAATTAGAAATTGATAAATTAAAATTGTAAAATTAAGAATTAGAAGAAAAAATACTTTCAAGCTAATCCAAAATTGATTAATTAACTCAGAAAATAGAAGAACTTAAAGAACTTAATAGTTAATTAAATCTTCATAATTAAGAAGTTGAAGATGTTAAACTAAAATTAGAAAAAGAATTCTAATAAAGATATGATGAAGTAGAATATGAAATCATTAATAATAGATAAATTATTGAAGATCTATAAAATTAAGTTAAAGAACTTAAAGCTTTTTAATTGTAATTAGAATCTGCTTCTATTAATGAAACATTTGATATGAAATAATAAATTAGTTAATTATAAGATTAAACTAATGAATTATAAAATTAAAATTAAGAATTATAATAAAAGCTTCATGCTAAACAAATTGAATTTGATCAAATGAATAAAGCTAAATCTAGAGAAATTGAAAAGCTTAAATAAGATAAAATTGAATTATAAGAAGAATTGGAATAAACTAAATAAATTGCAGAATAAACATAAGTTGAAACTGAATCTAATTTTAAAAATTAAATCTTAATATTATAAGATAAATTTTCAAAAAGTGAAGAATCAATTTCGAAATTAAACTTAAAGATTTAAGAATTATCTACAGATCTTATATAAGAAAGAATGAGTTATAAAAATAATGAAGCTTAATTGAATGGAGTAATAACTTAATAAAAAGATGAGCTATCATAAAAGTCAAGTCTTGTTTTATAATTGACTGAAAAAATAAAGATATTATAAGATCATTCTATGTAATAGGAAAATAATATTTCAAAAAATATAGACGACTATAAAGTTTTACTTGATTAAAATAATTAGTAAATAACTTAATTGTCAGAATAAATTAAATCTTTAAAAAAATAATAAAGATAATAAGAGTAAGAAAACAAATAAGTTATCTCATAATATGAATAGTAAATTAAATAATATTTGGCTGAAATTACTTAAACTAAAATTAAGAAAAATGAAGCTGAAAATTAAAGATAAAATTGTGAAAGTTCTCTAAATTAGATAATTGAGAAATAAAAAGTTTAACTTTAATAAGCTAATGCAATTATTTAAGATTTGAATAATCAAATCGAATAATTTTAGTAAAATATTTAAGATTAAGAAGAATAGAGATTGAGTGTTATATCAGTTAAGCAATCTTTATTGATTGAGAAAGAGAGTCATATTAATACACTTGAATAATAGGTTATTAAATATTAAAATGAATTAAATTTAAAATAAGATTAAATCTAAGGTTTACAACATTAATTTGAAAAATAAAAATCGGAATTTAATTAAACAATTGCTGAAAAAGAAAAAAATAATAAATTGACAAATTAATAAAGCTAAGAATTATAAAATAAAATATCTGATTTAACTAATGAAATTAATTTATTAAAATCGTTAGTTGATAAGGCTGAAGTGGAGAAAGAATCAAATATTCAATCATATAATGAAGCAAATTAATAATTAAAAGATTAATTAAATTAATAAAATAGTTTGATTTAAGAATTATAAGAGTATCTAAAAGAAAGCAATTCAAAGGAATAATTAGCAATATAGAAATCAACTCAATAAAGTTTGGAAATAAATTAATTATAATTAGAAATTGGAAAACTAAAAAATGATTTATCTTAGTAAGAATAAAGGTAATCTCAAACTAATTTAGAAAATTCATACAAATTGAAAGAGTAATAAACACAAAATGAAAATCTCAAGAATGAATTCAAGTAGTTATTATAATTACAAGATAAAACTAAATAAGAAAATTATTATTTAAATGAGTAATTAAATGAATGTAAAGTTAAATTAAATGAGAGTCAAGAAAATCTAAAATAAATAATATAAGTATCTGAAAGTTAAAAAGAATAGTTTCAAAAGTTACATGATTAATTTTATTAAGAATAATAGAAGGATTCTGTAAATTAAACAGAAAAATTTTATTTATAATAATTAATCTAATAACACAAAGATTAAGTAAATGAAGTTCATGAGAAGAATAAATTAATAACTAGTATAAGTGAATCAAAAGATAAATAGATTGAAGCATTAAAGAAATAAGGAGAAGATGCTTAAAAACATTATGAATAATAAAAATAAACTTAATTTGAAGAGATAACATAATTAAAATAAAAATATGATTAATAAATACGTATACTTGAAGATGAAAAGAAAGGTTTGATTGCTGAATATAAAAATAGGATTGCAAATTTAGAAGAAATAAATAATGATTATTAAAAAAACTCATCTATTGAATAGAATTAATTTAATTAAGAGAAATTAAACTTAAAATAATAATTATTAGATTAGTAAGTTAAGATAGAAAAATTATTAAAAGAAGTTGAATAATAACAAATTTAATTGGAACAAAAATCTTAAGAGATTATTTAACTTAATTTAAAGAATGAATATGAAGTATTATAATTATCAGAAGAATTAGTATAACTTAAATAATTGAATACATAATAAGTTGAAGAAATTAATGAAAGAGATTTAATGATTACTCTTCATTAAACTTAAATTAATTTATAAGATGATTAATATAGATTAGAAATTTCTAATTTGAATGTTAAAATAGAAAATACGATAAGAGATAATTAAATATAAATAGAAGAAATTCATAATAATCATTAAAAGTAATAATAGTAAAAACAAAATGAAATTTAAGATAGAGAACATTAAATAAAAAAGCTTGATTAATAGCTTTTTGATTATTAGGCTTAAATGGAATAAAGATTAGAATATATTTAAGAAAAAGAGAGAGAAATAGAAAAATTAAATTCGTCAAATTAAATTTTCTCGAATGACATTAACTAAAAAGAATAAGAAATTATTTAATTAAAAAATCATATAGAAAATTTGGGTATTGAACTAGAAAAATTCAAATAATATTCCTAATTAGAATAAGAAAAACAATAATAGATAATATTAGAATTAACAGAAAACTTAAAATAGTCAGAATAGCTATTCAAATAGTAGAATAAATCTTTAGAAGATTAAATAAAAAGTTTAGAGTAATAAATAGTAAATTCAAATTAAAAGATTCTTTAATTATAAGAGAATTTGAATTAATTGAATTAAAAGTATTAGGATTTGAGGAATGAAAAATAATTGAAAGAAAGTGAATATGAAAAATAGATATAAGAGTTATAAAATTTAAATTAAATTTAAAATGAAGGGATTGATTCTTAAATTTAAAAAAATGTTGAATAATCTGAACTAATATAAAAATTGCAATAGAAAGATTAATAGATATTTGAAGAATTATAAAATTTAATTGAAGAGAAAAAATAAATTGAATTAACATATAAATAAGCAATAGAAGATTTAAAGATAATTTAAGAATAAAGAATAACAGAAATTAATAAAAAAAATTAAGATTTGATTTAACTAAAGAATCTAATGTTAATATAAAAAGATGAATAAATGGATGAATTAAATTTATAGATATAATAATAATAGGAAGAAAATATTAAATAAAAAAATTTAAATGATACTTTATAAATACATTTGAGAGAAATAAAGAATACATATGAGGAATATCGAGAAACAAAATTTTAAGAGGCTAAAAAATTATAAAATGATTTAGATTTGTCAGAATAAAAAATAAATGAATTATAAGAATAAGTTGATTAAAATGCATAAGCTATATAAAATTTATAGAGTGAAATTTAAAGAAAAGATTTAGAATATTTATAATTACAATCTTAATTATAAACTAAATTACAATAACATACTCTTGAAATATCTGATCTTGGAGGAAAGATGACAGAAGAACAATTAAAACATTAAATAGAAGTAAATTAAAAATAGTAGGAAATTAATGAACTTAATTCATAAAATAAAGAACATAAGGATAAAATAGAAGAATTATCGAACAATGTTATAAATAAGGAAACTCAAATTAAATCTTTAGAAGAAAATTTAGAAATTAATGCTAATTAGATATAGTAATATAGTATAAAGATTTAAGAATAATAAAAATAAATTGAAGGATTAAGTTTAGACAATTAAAATAAGCAAAAGTAATTGGAATAATCAGCAAAAAGTATTAAAGATACTTAATTAGAATTAGAAGAGTTGACAATTTAATTAACAGAATAAATTGAGAAATTTAATTAAAATGAAGGATCATTTTTAAAATTGTAATAATAAAATAAATCTTTAGAAGAACTTTACAGTAATACTTTAAAGTTATTAGAAACAAAAGAAGAAGATTTAACAACGACAGTGATATAAAAAAATGAAGAAATTGCTAGTATATAATTATAAATGGAAAAATAGAAATAGGAATCTGAAAAAGAGTATAAGTAATTAGAGGATTATTCTTATGAATAATTATTAAAGAAAATGGATGATATTGCTTAAAAAGATTGGGAGATTGATAATTTGAATTAAGAAGTTTAAGATTTAAAAATGAAATTGTAAGTAGGTATGGAATGTATTGAATAGTATGATAAAGAATTAGATTAATAAACAATTGAAATTGGTGAATTAAAATTAAAGGTTAAATAAAAAGAAAAGTAAATTTCAGAATGCAATGAGGTTATTGAAAAATAATAATTAGAAATTGAAGCAGTTAATAAATAAATGAATGAAGAGCTTGAATTAGTATCTTAAACACTTTAAGAAAATTAATAAAATTATGAAACAGAACTTTAAGTTAAATTAGCAATTTTAAATAAGAAAGAAGCTTAGATTTTAAATTTAGATTTTTAAATTGCCGAACTATAATAAAATCTAAATTAATAAAAAGATTAAATTGATTAATTAACTTCAGAAAGAATTATATTAATTGAAAGGTAATAAAAAATGGAAGATGAGAGAAATGAAAGTGATTAAGAATTTAAACAGCAAATTTAAACATTGAAAGAAAGCTTATTATAAATAGAAGATAATTATGATTAATAGAAATAATAAAATGATGAATTATAAAGTTAATTTGTTACTCAAAAAGAATTATATAATAGTTTATAATCAAAGTATGAAGAGGATTAAGAATCTTTATAATAATATATTTAAGAATTACAAAATGCAAAAGATAAATTAAATATTGAATTTTAGAAGTATATAAAAGAAACAGAATTCAATAATCAAAAATTAAATACGAAGATAAATTAATTAGAAGAGAAATTAATTTAATTATAAAATTAGATTGAATCTCTTTAAAGTAATCTTGAAGATAAAAATAATTAATATGATGAAATAACATAAAAATTATTTGAAAAATAGAATGAATTAAGTCAGGTTATTTTGGAAAAGTAAACTCATGATAAGAAATTAAGTTTATAAATTTAAGAATGTAACAATAAAATTTCATCTTACAATTTAGAAGTTGCTCAATTATCTTAAGTAATTTCTTTAAAAGAATCTGAAAAATCATAATTATCAAAATAATTTGAATAAACTTCTGATCAATTAAAATTATAACTTTTTAAATAAACATAAATTATTTAAGAACTTCAAGATTATATAAACGAAAGTTAAGAAAATGAATAAATAGCAGGATAAAAAATAAATAGTCTCAATTTATAAATTAGTACTTTTGAATTTGAAATATCTAATCAAAATTGTGAAATACTTAAGCTATAGAATACAATAAAATAATAAAAGGAAGAAAAACTAAGATTGGAAGAAGATCATTAATAAGATATTATTTAAATTTAATAATAATTATAAGCAGCCATTAGTGCTAATTAACTTTTGAAAAATGAGACATAAAAAAAATAAATTAATCTTTATGAAAATGAATAAAATTTAACAAATAAAATAGAATAATAAATTTATGAGATAAAAATATTAAAAGAAGAAATATAAAGGTTACAATAAGAAATGCAAAGATAAGCAAAAGAAAGTGATTCTAATATTTATAATAAAAATGAAATGATTGATTTATTAAAAAAACAATTGATTGATATATAAAATAGTGCAGCTAATGCAGAAGAAATGAAAGAATTAATATAAAGACAATTATAAGATTAAAGTTAATCTCAAGCATAATAATTAAATTAACAAATAAAAACAAGAGATGATTAGATTGCAAATCTCAGATAATAAATTTAGTCATTATCTTAAAGTAAATAATAATAGGAATAGTTATTAACTGAATAAATTAGTGTAATGAATTAATAGGTTAAATCAAAAAATGAATCAATGAATCAATTAGATGAATCAATAAAATATTTTTAAAGTTAAATTGATTAATCAAATCTAAAGATTACTTAATTATAATAAGATTTATAAAGTTTAAATAGCAAACTTTAAATTTCAAAAAGTGAAAATAATTAACTAAATTCTGAAAACAAAGAATTATAAGAAAAAGTAGAAAATCTAATATAAACATAAAATATAATGAAATTAGAATTAGAGAAGCTTAAACAATAAATTCTTAAATTGGAGGATGAAAAATAAAGACAAAATGAATAAATCAAACAATTGACTTCATAAATGAATGATTAAAATTCTTAAAATTAATAAATGACCTAAAAATTGTTGACTGAAAAAGAAGAGAAAGAATTAATTGATCTTTAATAGAAAAATATTTAAGAATAATTTTAGTAATATAAAGAATAGTCAGAAAAATAAATTAATTAATTAACTAATAATTCAACTTAATTAGAATAAACTTTATTATAAAGCTAAAATAATTTCTTATTGATATCTAAGCAAAAATAAGAGTTAGATGAAAAATTAAGTAAAGTAAATCAACAATTATAAAATGTGAATTCATAATTATCAATTTAAAGAGAATAAAATGAAAGTGAAATTAAGCAATAATTTTAATAAATAACAAATTTAAATTAAGAAAACTCTTAATTATAAGAAACTTTGAATGAAAAGTTAGAAGAGTTAAGTAAGATTTAAATTGAGAACACTAAATTATAATAAAATTAGAAGAAAGTTGATAAGTTGGAAATATCAGTATAAGAGTTAAGTACTCTAAAAGAATAAAATGGAAAGTAATTAGAATAATAGGAAACAAAATTGAAATCCTAATAGTAGGAGTTAGATTAATTAAGAGAAAACTATAATTTATAAAAGAATTAAATAAATTCATTGAATCAATCAATTGCTTAGTGTGAATTAGATAAGGAAAAGCTAAATAAAGAGATTAAATAATTATCAAATTAGAATTAAAATTATCTAAATTAAGTTCAAAAATATTAGGATTATATTAATTAATAATAATAAGAGTTAGAAAAAAATACAATATAAAATAGAAGTATTGTAATCAATGATACTTAAGGTTAATAATTAGAAGCGGAATTGAAAATTTTATAAGTTAAAGTATGTATTTATAAGTATATAATTAATTAGTTAGTGTAATAATTGAATTATTATAAATAATTGATATAGGATAAAAAGAATCAAGAAATAAGAGCAAAAATTAATGAAGATTTAGATTAGATAAAAAGAGATTATGTAATGGTTTTTGAGAAAATAGGAATATTGATAAGAGGAATAGACGATTTAGAGAAAGTTAATGGACCAAAAAATTAGTAAATTCATTTTATTATAACTTAGAAACGAGTTAAATAAATCGATAGCAGGACTTAAAGATTTTATATCAAAGTTTGCTAGCACAATTTTGAGGGATATTAAATGAGTTAATTTTTATTTCAATTGAATTATATTCTTAATGTTAATTATTAATTTAATCTGGATAAAAATTAGAGTAACTCAATCGTATTTTGCTATTAAGAAAAATAAATTAGTTAATATAACATGAAAGTATATAAATTTATTAGGAAGTAATAAATGATAGATTAAAAACTAGTTATTAAAGTATGATAAAAAATTAAAACAATTAATAAACTTAAATAAGTATGAGATTAATGAAAACTTTATTTATGAATAAATGAATAATTACTTGATATTAATACATTTGAGATAGCTTATATAAATTAATAGCAATTTAATTAATAAGTATATTGATAAAATTATGTAAGAAAACAAATATTATTTGTGGAAGTCAAAGCTTTATGAGAAATTCCGAAATAAGATATATTAATAGAATTTTTAGTTGGATAAGTTCTTTTTAACACCATTTTCCATTTTGACATTGATTTTATAACCTATAAAATAATTATTCTCAATATTAATGCTATTAAAAAAATATAAATAGAAAATAGTTTAAATACATCTTGAAAGATTTAAAGATTTATTCTTTTTTAAATCTAGCTGATTATTTATATTTAAAATATTGGCAGCATATTATCACTTTATAAGAAATTAAATCAAAATTTGAAAAAAAACACACAAAAAATAGCTATGTGAAGCTAAATCATCTTGCAAATTCATATTATCTTCTTCCTTATAATTTTGCATATTTTAATTGGCAAATTTACTACAATATATAAATTATAAATACTTTTTCTGAATTAGTCCATTTTTAATTATTAAATGTTCTATAAAACTTCAATACTATTTCTTGATTGATAAAATTAACAAAAGCGTATCCCAAATGACCTTCATTCTTTAATTATAAATAAGATATACATTATTATCTAAAGGTAAATAGAAAAAGTCATAAAGATTACGAAATTCTTTATTTAAAATATTTCTTAAATCATTAGGCTTCATATTTCTTGGTATATTTTTGAGCATCAAAGTAGTTCTTTCATCTTTAATAATCTATGTTTTTAAATGAAAAGCTTTACATTTTCTTCTAAAATCTCTAAATAAGCCTATTACTATAATAAATATTTTTCATCATTCAAGAATATAAGTTTGTCTTATATCAATTCCTAAGTGAACTATTCAAAATTTTTTTAGCCATCTTCTTCAGGGAATAATAATTTAAACTCTAAAATGGATTATAAACCTAATACCAAAAGCACAAAGGGAAGCTTCAAATTTTTCATCGAAACTTAATAAAGGTCTTGGAATTTTAAGTTAAGAAGCTTCAAAAGAAGAATTTCTTGAACTATTAGGTGATGCTGTAGTATTGGTCTATGAAAATCTTCCTTTATTTGGAGTTGTTCTTAGAGTACAATCAACTAAATTACAAATCATTATTTAATAATAAAAACAATGGATCATTGTCTCATTGATTTTCTAACTTTCTAACAGTAGCTCTTGTTTTAATTTGTCTCTCAAAATTTCTTAAGCAATTCAAACAATTCCATTTCCCTTAAGGAACCTCCTTTAAGTTTATACATTTTGGATGGAATACTTTTGGGCAAGTATCACAACAAATTACTTTTCCACCTTTATTACATTTTTTACATCTATCTTCCCATTTTGTTTCTGTTTCTGTATACTAAGGTTTTATTGAATTTCTTTTCCTTAAATTTTAAGTTACATATAATTATGCTTCTTAAACAAATTATGGTTAAGGTTCAATATTCTTTTTAATAATTATTTCTTCTACTTTTTTCTTTTCTCCAATTGGAATTATTTATTATTATATTTAAATTTTTTTTCTATCAATATAATCTTTTACTATTTAACCTAATACTTCTAAAGAAATCTTCATTTTTGCTAAGTTACAATCAAATTTTAATTGTTCTATTAAATTTTATCTAAGTGTTTCATAATAAGTACCAAATAATTTCATTGGCAATTTTCTTACTCTTACTTTCCCTAAATCCATTTATTCTAATTATTATAACATAGTTTAAGGTTATTCATCAATAGATGAATCATCTTCAACAACTTTTCTTCTTCTATTAGGTTATTAATAAGAATCTTCATCATTTTCATTAAGTTATTTATCATCCATATCTTCTTCTAATCTAAGTTCTAATTTTTCTTACATCATTGTATTATCTACAAAATATTCAATAGCTCTTCCTAATGGTTTAAGATCTATTTCATCATATTCAGAAGAATTCTTTTTTTCAATTACATTCTAAAAACTCTTTAAAAATGTAGCTCTTTATTCAGTACTACACCATCTTGAATTTTTTTAATTTAAATATTATGTTAAACTTGATTCTATTTCTACAAATTCATTAATAAGCTCATCAACATCTAAATTAATTAAACTATTAATTCTATCTATTTATTCTTCACTTTAATTTTATCCCTCCTATTCAATATCATTTTCTATAATACCCTTACCATTTTTATGGTTTTCTTATTCAATTTAATCATTCTAATCTTAATTTAATTCATTTATTTATAATAGCTTAGCTCTTTATAATTCAATTATATTATTTTTTAAAGTATTTTCTCTAACACCTTTGGGACATAATGAATTAAGTAGATTTTAAATTTCATTTTAATCATAAAATCCCCATTATTATGATCCATCTTCATCAATAATTGAATGTCTCATACATACAAAGATCTTATCAGGTTCATATAAAAAGAAATAATATGAACTATGTTTTGCATCCTAACCAATACACATTGATGGATTTAATAGTAAAGCTGGCATTTATGTTATTGCTAATTCCTAATAGAATATAAATACGATAGATTACTTTATCTTATTAATTATATCTTTCTGTTAAAGATGCTATTTCTTTTTCTAATTTTGAATATTATTATTTTAGCTTTTATGCTTATTTTTATGCTTATTCCATTGATTTTGTAAATTTCTAAGTTTCTACTCTTGTTAATCCATCTTGTTATAATTAAGACTATTTAATAATATATAATAGTTTACTTTAGCAATAGAAATATTACCTTCAGCTTCAATAATCTCCTTTTTAATATCAATTTATTAACTTCTTTATTATTTGATTTAGGTGCCCAATTATTATTTAATTCTATTATTAGATAAGAGATTTTCAGTTCTGAATTAATAGAGAAACTATGTTTTTTTGAGACCAGTTAAACCATCTGATAAAGCAATAAGTAATTTACACACTTTTTTAATATCTGTATAATCATTAAAATCTATCATATCCTATGTCAAATGGAGTATTCCTTATTTATAAATATTAGTTGGCAATGATTTAATATCATCTCTTAATAATTCATAATATCTAATTCTATTTGTAAACCACATATATCCAAGAAGATGCCAATATGGTATTTTCTAAAAATATTATATATGATATTACATATTATTATTTTTACATTTATTCTTAATCTAAATCTTCGATTATTTATTTAAGATAGAAATAGCAAAAGAAAAGGATCAATTCTTCAGGGTTATTTTAGATTATATTATATATGTCTAATCGAGTTTTTTAACTATATGGTGTATGATTATCTTTAAAATGAATTAAGGTACCAATATTATTAACTTAACTTTGTTCTTTTAAATATAATATATATAGAAATACATTCTGTTTATTATTCTCCTGCATAAAGTATATCACTCACAATTTTATCCATATAATTGTAACTATCCCATATTTTAAGAATATCTTCAAAGAGATTCTAAGGAATATTGGGATCTAATTAAAGAAGTGGTTTCTTTTTAATTTCAATGGTAAACAATTATTAATAGGCTGTCAGATATTCATCAAATATTGGAAAAATTACTCTTCCTTATTGAACATAAGTTGGATATTTTTATTGAAATTCAGTGTGTTTTTTCAATTTATCTTCTTATGGTTGTAAGGTTTTCTAAAAGAATTCTGGTATTTAACTAGTTTTCTTCTTTTTCTATGGTTCTGACTCTTTCAATTTTCTCTTAGCCATTCTCTCTATACACGATAGACAGTACCATTTAATACCGTCTTAAAATTAAGGCTCTTTGTTTTAAGTTCGTATACATTCTTTGTGGTATTTAAAGTGACACCTTATACAGATTATAGTTGGAGTGGATTGAGTAGTCAATTTGCATAATCGACATATAGATTTATCACCAAATTACTATTTACCATCAATTGGCTTTTTCTACTCCAGCTTCTTGTTTATTTTCTTATCTTTCTTGTCCTTCTTCTTTTTTGGATTGTCTTCTACTTATGATTCATCAATTATTTCATCTTCAATGTTCACATCTTCCTCACTAGCCATTAAGTATGTCTATGAATTATTTCAAATAATTTAAAACTGTGAATCCAAAAGAAGTGCTATTAACTTAATTACTAATATATTATAATCAATGCAAATTATTTTTTATAAACTTTCTACAACTCTGTGTGTTTTTATTTCACTTTTCCTATTCAAATTCAACTCCTTTCCACATCTAAATCATACACTCATTTACATTAATAAATATATGTAATAAAATAACAGTGCAATTAAACATCTCATTAAACCATTTTCTTTTGAACTCCCCCAATCAGAATAATTTAATCCATTACTTTTAGATAATCTTAATTGGGATTATATCTAAGCTAATCTGTAATTCATCTTATCTCTCTATTCTTTAGGGATATAGCATAATGTGGACCATTTCTCAAAAACTTTGTCTAATCTAACTTCACATCAGATACCATAAGAAATATGGAATTTAGATAATTCAAGAAAATGTTAGAAGTCTGCTAATTTGCTATGGATTTTTATACACAAAATTAAGAAGAAAAAGAGAAAGAAATTGATGAAAAAGTTGAAGTCTTGAAAAAAAAATAAGAATAGTTAGAAAAGTTAAAAGAAATTGAAAAGTAACATGTAGATAAACAAAATACTATTAATAAAGAACTTGAATTACTTAAAGTAGAAGCTAAATAGGTAAAAGAATAAGCTGTAAAAAATATAATTTTCAAATGTCATCATTGTGATAAATGTTATCCCTCCAAAAAAGAATTACTTAAACATATTGATAATAAACATGTTGAAAAATAAAAAGATGATATAACTAATCCAGAATACTTAGGCTCGATGCTTTAATAATTATAATAGTAATAAATGTAGTAGTAATAATCAATGGCAAATACATAATAAAGCTTTTTGAAATAATAACAATTTGGTAATACTATGTAATCTGTGCCGGATCCATTAATGATTGGTAGTGCTGGATTTTAATAATTGAAATAACAATAGATTGAAAAAATGGAACTTAAACAAAAAAGAAAAGAAGAAAGAAGAATTAAAAGAGAAAATGATAGAGAAGAAAGACAAAAAAGAATACTTTAACAAGAAGCATAAATGAAAGAATTCTAAAACTAAATGAAAATTTTAATTGAATAGAAAGTGTAAGAAATGGTGAAGTTAAATAGTATGGTTGGATCATAATAATAAGCTTAAATCATTTAATAAAAGAAATTAATAGCAGAATTAGAGGAATTAAAATAGATGAGGTTTGTATAAAAGGATTAAAGCATAATTTAATAAGATTAATAATAAGTCAATTAGTCTAAGAGTAATGATGATGAAAAGTTATTAAATATTATTGATAAAGAAGTTAATGATCTTGATATATCATAATAAAGTTTACATTCTTAATAATTATCAAGAGATTAGAAGCTTTAAATAAATAAAAACTAAAAAGTCGGAGATTAATCTGGAATGATGAGTTTTCATAATTATTCATACTCATAAAATTCATAAAATATTATAAATGTAAAGACAGAAATGGGAAAGGCTCATTAAATAAAAAATAATCAAATTAATTAAGCTGAAATGGCTCATGTTGGTGAGATAGAAAGTGATAATGAAATTTTAGATTAAGATAATGATGCTTCATATTTAAGACCAGTAAATAAAAAAAGTGAAGTTTAATAAGCTGAAATTGAATTTATAGAAGCTATAAGGAAAAAGAAAATCTAAAAAGAAGATATATAAGATGATGATGATTAAGAAGATAGAGATTTTGATGATTTATTAAACAAAGAAAAATAAAAGTTATTAGGTCCAAATGTTGAATCTTAAACCAATAAAGAATTGTTAGAATCTTTAAATAAGATTTAATAATAATCTAAACTTAAATCATGAATATAAGATTATTCAAATTAATTTATTGTATTTTTTAGTATACTTAAAGTATTTTATTTATATTGATATTTTTATATAAAAATGAAATCTGGAAATTCAAATTTACCCAATACTATTCAACCTGATCAAAATGAAATCAATGAATATATTAAAGAGTATCTTAGATATTCATCGTTTGCAAACACTCTTGAATGTTTTGAAGCAGAAATTAAGAGCAAATAAGTTTCTAATAAAGTATTCAAGTTAATAATTATTACTCTTAGATGTTGAATAAATAATCATAATCTAAATAAATAGGAGATGATGCACCAAGAATATTTTAACTTTTTAAAAGTGACAATACAAAAACTAAAAGAGAAATCAATTTAGAAAAGGAATAAAAAGCTTTCAATAAAAAATATTAACAAATTCTTTAGGCTGGTCGATAAATATTCTCTGTAAGTATCAATCTACTTTAATTATTGCATTCTCTCAAAGAAACAGCTAAAAATGAAAACTTAAGTGAAACTTTAGAAAATTATAAAATATAATTAGGAAAATATCATAAAGTGATCATAAATGAAGGTAAACCAGAAGGAACTGAATTGATTACTGAATAAGTTATGCATGAACATAAGACAAAACTTTTTAAGAATTTCTAAGATAAACATGTGGATGGAATGATTGAAGTGTTATTGTCTCTAAGAGTAAATGCATTATAGATAGCACCAGAATTGAGAAAAAACTTAGTATATGAGTTGATTAGAAATGATGTTTTTAATATTGAAGCAACAGAGAAATTTGATTTTGTTGTTCATTTATTAGATATTAATAATTAGAGTTTGAGACATGCCATTACAAGTTTAATTAGTGTAATAAGTAGTACTTTAAGAGGTGTAGAATATCTTACATATAATGGAAATATGATAATTATTGAGAAAATTATTAAAATATTAAAGGAATAAGAAAATGGTTCTGTTACTTAAAGATTCTGTTTAGCAATATTATAAAAAGCTAGTATTAAGGATACTGTGATTCCTACGTATGTTCATAATGAAATGATATAATGGATCATTTTATTAATACAAAAATCAATAAATACAAAAATCCATATATTTTGTCTTGATTTTGCTTCTGCCACATTAGCAAATGTCATTCATACTCCATATACTTTATAATATCTTGAAAAGTAAGGAAGATTTGCTCATTAAGTTATGGAATAACTATTAAAATTTATGAAGGAATAGATTTAAGTAAGTGTATTAATGCATGTTTTAATTTGTTTATCATATTTAAGTAAGGAAAACTTTGCTAAATAAATGGAAGAATGTAGATTTGTAGAGAGAATCAGTGAATTTGTTGAATATTATAGTGTTATTAATACAGGTATAAAATTGTAAATTTACATTGATTAGAAAACGAAGCGGCTGAAATAGATAAAAAAACAGTGTTAGATTTATGTGCTCATATGTTTCATCCAAAAGATACATCACTTGATAATTCAGAAACTGTTGAATTGAATGAGTTAAAAACAGAGGACAGAATTAGAGAATATGAAAATGAATAAGGAGAACTAATATTTGAGTGCTTTTAAGATGAAGTAAGTTGATTTTGAAAATTATATAATCAATTCATTAATTTTAAAAATTATTCTTAATCCTAGAAATTTTAGTTAAGGAACAAAATTTAAACACCATTTCAAAAATGTAATAATCCATGTTTACTTAACTAAAATTTGGTCTAAATTCTTCTAATATTTAATCCTAAATTCTCTTAACTTATACATACCTTTCTACTCAACTCACATATTATATATATATATGTATAACTAAATCTTAAATGTTCAGAGTATTTTTAATAACTCTTAATACTTCTTTAAATGGATTAAAATCCTCTTCCTATCTTCAATTAAGTAAAAGATAAAACTAAGCAAAGAAAAGCAATTGATTAAGAGATAAAATCAAAGCTAATTATGAGTGTAGTTAATGATCGTCTTCCAATTTATTAGGTAATGAAGAATTACAATAATTAATTATTTTAGGCTGCTATTCTCCATAAAGTTAAATATTCATCTGCCAAGCATATTCTAAGAAATTACTTCAATGATACAGCTAACTTTTTTTCTACTTAAAGAAAGAGAAAGAGGAAAATATTATGCAATAATGTCTTCGTATTTATTGATGCATATTCTGGAAAAATTATTATCAAGAAATAATAAACTTATTCCATGTCTTGTGCAAATAATGGATCTACTCCAGTTTTATAATAAAAAATCTTAAGCTAACTTTCAAATGCCATTTATCTAGAAGTTCACCCATTTTCAAGTATAATTTAATATTATGGTATTCTTAGAAAAAATAGCTAAACACATAAATTAAACTGAACATATTCAAAAAGACTTATATAAGTTATATGAGATCATAAAATAGTAGCATAATGAAATGACGAATTTAAAGGAATAATATTGAAATTATCAAAATTAATAATTATTTTACATTTAAATTATAGAAAAAGGTAATGCTATGGCTAGTGAATTAATTTTAAAAATATGTTAAGCTTATTCTCTCTTCTGAAATTCTTGACAAATTTCAATTTAGTTCAATTCTCACCTGCAACTTATCTTAAACTTAATTTAAAATATTGAATTTTTATTTAATTAAAATAACAATCGTCATCTATATATTTAAAATCAAAATTTCTTAACATCTTCAATACTCTGAAAAATATAAATAATAAATATTTTTATCCTTTAAGAAAATAGAACTTTGTCACCAATTTTTAATAAAACAATATAATTGAATATATTATAAACTTTTCAAGGTTATGGTAAATTATCTCTGTCAAATAAAGGACATTTGCAATCTTTATGTCTATACTTTCTACCACATTTATAACAAAATTCATATCCACATTTACATTTCATATGATTGCACCCCTAATATAATATACACTGATACTTTTTCCTTTAATATCCAGGCTCCGCAATTTGAACATTATTTACAATTAAGATTTTCAATATACTTCTTGAATTCTCTTTCATTATTCTATTGTTAAATTCATTTATACTTCTTTATTTTTGGATTTCTAAAATTCTTCACAAGTGAATTATGTATGTGCATCTGATTTGTATCTTAGACAATATTTTTTATCACAAAATTCACACCAAAATAAAGGTTTCTCCTTTTAATTAACAATAAAAATATTTTGGCATCCTAGTGTTGGACAACAAGAGAATTTTTCTTAATTTCCAATTACTAAGGCATCCAATTATGCACTAAAATAAATATTAATTTATTGATAATTGTATCCTAATTTAGGTAAGAGTGATGCTGATAATTTTTCTTCTATTTTTTAAATAAGATCATAAAATTGTTACAGCAACGTAAAGATGGACAACGAAGTTCTTGATATCTTTCTTTTAAATTTGATTCAATATATTAATTGATACAATTTTTATGAAAGGTGTCTCCACAATTTGTTCTGAATATTTGTTCATTTGATGTTAATTAATCAAGACAAATTTGACAATTAATTTTAACAGAATAAAATCTTTTAATAGGTAAGTTTGTTTTCTCACGAATATTTATTTGATTCAGAACTTAATCATCAATAATATTATTTTGATTGTTCATGCTATATTGAATAATTAAAAAAATATTGCTTAAATTAAAAGAAATTAGTTGAATACAAAATATAATAAATGTTAATAAAAGAGAAATAAAATAATCAATACAAATTATTTAAGAGAACAAATATATTTAATTAGCAAGAATCACATAATTAATAAATTATTAAATAACAAGTAAAGAATCAATAAGATGTTTCTGGACCTTGTATTTAATTTTTGCTGCTCAAAACGATAGAAAGATGAAAAGGACACAAGATCACAAAATAGCAATAAAAGTTAAGAGGATTAATTTTTAGAACAAAGAAGAATTGAGTTAGACATTGGTAAAACAGCAATGAATTAACTAATAAGTAGGAAATTATTGAAATTTTTAAGAATCTAAGCCAGCCTCATCAATTGGATCACCTACAGATAACTATCTTTAATTAAATGAAGAAAAATAATAAAAAAAGAATAGTTTTGAAGAAGACAACATATAAGAGAATTAGTTTGAATATTAAATAGATGATATGAATAAAGGAAATCATTATAATTAAGGAAAGCGGTAGATGAAATAAATTTAATAGTTAATAGTTCTAAATCTTAAGAGAAGATAGAGAAAGGATTGAAAAAGAAGATAGGTAAAACAAAAGAGAAGTAGGAAGGAGACAAAAGAGTTGTAAAGATTTGGTAACCAGAAGAGGATTAAAGACTTAGAAAATTGTATTAAGAGTACTAAGGAAATTGGAGTAAAATAATTCAGTTTATGCCTGAACGAAATATTTCATAATGTTCTTAGAGATGGAGAAGGATAAATCCTATTTAAGTTATTGTTGAGATGATAATTTTTAGAATAAATAGAAGTGGACTTAAGAAGAGGATACAAAGTTAGTATAACTCGTAGCTTAAGAAGGAAAAAATTGGACTAAATTGGCTAGACATTTTTAAGGAAGGACAGGAAAATAAATTAGAGAAAGATATCTCAATAAATTAGATCCTGCTCTTAATTTTGTACCTTGGACAGAATAAGAAGATTAAGAGATAGTCAAATATTATAATTAATATGGTGCAAAATGGAGTGTTGTTGCTTCTCATTTAAAGGGAAGATCTGTAAAATTTATTTTATTATGTAGGAAAATATGGTGAAAAATAGATTTTATTCACATATTTAAAAACATTTATTGGGTCGATAAAATAAATATTAAATTGTTTATAATTCTGGTCATAGTCAATAGAATGGAAATTAATAGATGTAAGAAGGAAATCAAAATATGGATGTTGAATATTCTGATACTTCTAATAGTGAATAAAAATTAGTGCATTCAGAAAATTATTCAGTAAATACTCATTCAAATTATAGTCTTCTATAGGTTCAAGTACATTTACATTTTCTTATTATGAAGATGAAGATTTTAGTGGTTAAGATTTAATTTATGATAATTAATTTGAATAGGATTTCGATGAAAAAGCCAGAGTTTATTGAATAGGTTATTTTTATGCAACAAATAAGTATTAATTTTTAAAATTTATTTTGTTATTCCTTATTTCATCACAAAAATCTAATTTAATCTATTCATTATATATTATGATATATATAATTATCTTTTAAATAAATTAAAAGACTCATTAAATTTACTAATATAAATAAATATAATTAAAAATTTAGAATTAATTTTGTGGCCTTTCACATATTATGATTCATTCTTTTTAATATTGAAAAAATTGATATAAAAATGAATTAAAAAATATAATTTCATTTAAAGTTTTGAAATTGATTTAAATTGATATATTAAGCAATGTTTTTGAAGAATATGTATGTTGTAAAATTATTTATTCTGAATATATATTCTAAATTAAATATATAAAAATAAAACATTTATTTAAACATATAATTTAATTTATTCGTTAATGGGAGCTGAACAAAGTGATACTAATGAAATGAAAACATAATAATAATACTAAATGTTTTTATTGTAATATTCAAAGGAAAGAGAATCAGAACACAACTAATTTGGGTTGGTGAAGTTATATAATCATAATTAAGTAAATTCAGTTGTTATAATTAGAATAATTCTATGATTTGTATAAAGAAGTTATAAACAAAAAGTGATACTGAATTAACATAGATAAAAAACCATTTGAGAAAGAGGAAAATTTTTGTTCATCCTAATTTAGTGTAATTATTAGCTGTTCGTACTTGCAATGAATAATCTATATGTTCAGATTCAAGTTTAGTAATGGTTGTTTCAGAGTATTTTGCAGATACTTTAGAAAGTGAATTAAAGAAGAGAAGACAACCACTTAAAAGATTCCCAGAATCTCATATTTGGTTGTTGATCTAATAAATTGTAGATCCTTTAGCATTTTTAGAGGAATAAAAGTAAGTTCATGGAGATATTCAACCATAGAATATCTATTTGGATGAGAATGGAAGTGTAAAGTTAGCAGAATATAATTATTTTCCTGGTGGTTAACATGGATTTCAAAAGATGTTATTAAGTAAGGATCGAGCTTACCTTTCACCAATTTTATTAAATAATTATAGAAATATGAATTTTAAAGCTTAACATAATGAATACAAAAGCGATGTATTTTCATTAGGAATGACTTTGTTGGAGGTATTATTATTGGAAGAATCTTATGATTGCATGGATTTTTAAAATGGATGCATATTTGAAAATTTGATTGATTAAAAATTATAAAGAGTAAAAAGATCAGGATATTCATAATTATTAACAAATTTTGTTAGAGAATTATTATAAATTGATGAAAATTTAAGACCCAGTTGGAATGATTTAAAATAAGTCATAGATTAATTTAGAGAAAATATTTGTAACTTGATTCCATTTTATTAAGAAAAGCGTTAAATTTCACCAATAAAACTTCTTTACTCATAAAGTTATGTACCTTAACAATAAATACTGAGTTCTCCTTAATCTAAGATATTAAGTTCTCCTAGATAACCATAATTATTATATTAGACATATAATCAACCATAAACTTTATATTAGACAAAATAAATGTAAGCAATACCAATGCAATAATCAATATATTATGAATCAGGTTAAAAGTAAGTACCAATTAAGAAGACAACAAAATTAGAGGATACAGTTTTTAAATAGGGTTAATAAAAGGATAGTAATTTAGAGAAAACTACATTAAAACAATCTGAAACTAAATGATAATATTATATATATGTATTTATATTTATTTATTAATATAACTGAATTAAGAATAGATAAATTATTATATCATTCTCATAAAAAATGCACGTATTAATCCTACATCTTAGACTTGAGATTTTACTACATAATTTTTTGGAATTTGAATATAATTATAGACTAAAGTTCTTAAATTTAAATCAATAATGGAATAAAAGATATTTATATTTATTAATCATCCTCCTAAGACTCTTTTTTCAATAAACAAAATTACAATAAATTTTGACATGTTTCAGCCATTTAATAACCAATTAATTACCAAATATGATGATAATCTCTTACTTTAGGTAATTCAGTAATAAAACAATTTTATCTCTTAGCAACAAAAAAAATTCGCATACAATCACTAAAGAAATTTAGAAATTATAAAGTACTTTTAAACAAGCAACATGAACCTTTAAAAATCTCTTTGCTTTCATTTTATTATACAAATAATATGTTTCCGACAATGAACAAATTATCCATTAAAAATTAGACCTATTCTTTCAACAGTTCCAATTTAAATATAAGCAATTGATTATCTTATGTGTTATGATTACATATTATAAATAGTATTGGATTTATTGAAAATGATTTATTCAATATAGATATCTAACTATTGGGAAATTGAACTATTTGAGTTTTGAAGTTGATGTTATTGAACCATATTAAGTATCATCTTTATTCAAATTTTATGGACCAAAAGAGGCTTTTTGGATTAAATCAAACTCAAATTGCTAAAATTATTAAACTAAATCCGTCATTGTCTTTTCAGGATTTCGAGTCTCGAAAGTCTATTAATTTGTTATAGTCCATTTTTTCTTCTCTATTTTTATTAAAATCCTAACCTAAATGAAAGTACCATCTATTTACTAATGTTGCTTTTGATTATTTCATTTAATTAACATGAATTATAACCACCATCAAATCGTAGAGTAATGGATGAAGCGATTCCGAAAATGTTTGAACCTCTGTTATGGAAATGATTCATAAATGATAACGATGGAATTGCATAAAGGAAGTGTACAATTACTTAGTGTACCATAAAATAAAAACATATTCAACACAAGAAAATATAAAGTAATCTTTACCCTGGTATTAGTAGTTATATAACTTTTTACCTAAAACTCTATTTAGAGCTTTATAAAGATTTGGAAATATCTATCTTTTAGTTATATCCTTAATTATGTTGATTAATACATCATTATCACCATTTTATAGATGGATCACTATATTCCCAGTAGGATTGAGTGTTCTATTTTATGTTTTAATGGAATTTATACTAGATATCCGTAGATAGAATCATGATCATAAGATAAATATGCAAACAACATCTAGAGGAGCTAAGGACGGTTCCTTAGAAACCATAAAATGGAGTGATATTTAAATAGGAGATGTTCTCTATCTCATTAAAGGAGATATTGTGCCTGCAGATATTATTTTATTAGATACAGGATAAGTTAGAGATAGAGAAGCTATTTGTATGGTTGATACTCAATATTATGATGGTAAGTCTACTCTAACCAAAAAAAAATCATCATATTTGACCTAATTGATTGTCTTAAGAACTAGACTTAAGAATTAATTTCCAGAATATAGAAAAATGTTAACTGGAAAATTGGAATATGAAGCTCCAAATGGAAATACAGAAAATTTTCATGGAAAATTGAAATTAAAAAAGGATCCCAAAAATGAAGAGTTAACTATTGATAATTTCATCCCAAAAGGTACTAAAATTAAATAAACATCTTGGTTATTTGGTTTAGTTGTGTATGTTGGTGAAAATACTAAAACTATGCAAAGTAGTCATTATAATGCTGATAAACCTAGTTTTGATGAAAAACAATGTAATTTTTATTCATTTCTTATGGCATGCTTATCACTCTTCTTTACATTGATCTCAATCATTGTACTCTTAGCCAGATCAGATGAAGGTTATTTTGCTTTACTTATTGATAATTATACTACAAATGGTATGAAGGTATTCTAATTAGCAATATTATATGCATAATTAATTCCATCTACTATATATTTATTATTAGATTTTGTAAATTTTATTTCTTTATTTAAATATGAGATCAATTAAATTGAAGATAATATTATTAAATATGTAAAAATAAATACATCAAATAATCTTAGTGATTTAGGGCATGTTGATTATATGCTTATCGATAAAACAGGTACTTTGACTACGTCTTATTACAAATTGGATAATCTTTTATTTGGATCTTTATCTTTTACATTGAATTATGATTAATTACAAGCCACTTTGAATTTAAAATCAGTTAAACATGTGGATAATGATGATCCAATTAAATTTGCAAGTATCAATGATAATAATGAATATTTGATTCCATTTGAATATGATAAAAAAAGTAGTCATACAGATGTATAACCAAGTGGTAAGTTGCTTTTGAAAAGTGTTAGAACTTCTAATAATAATCCAGTATTTAGTTAAATAACTGCAGTACCTTAGAATAAGAGAATGACTTTGTTACACAATTTGGAAAATTCAGTTCAATAACCTTTACCTGATTATTTATAAACAAGAATATTTTTACCATAACCAAAAGCAAGAAATGGACCTGGGAATAATAATGATGAATTTATTTAATTAATCAATTAATTAAGAAATAGTTCTCCATAAATAGAATATTTGTAAACTGAAGATATAAATACATTGTATTATGATGCATTTTTGAAATGTTTGATGTTATGCCATGAAGCTCGATTGGTATTTGGAGCAGATTCAATTACTTATGAATCTTTTTCAAAGAATGAAGAGATTGCATTAACATTTGCTCGTTCTTGTGGTTATTCATTAGAAAATTTTAATAAATTTGATAGTCCTGATATGTATTTATGTAAAGTGAGAGGAAATTCTATATGGTATTAGGTTTTAGGATTGAATTTATTTACATATACAAGAAATTTAAATTCAGTTGTAATTTAGGCACCAATGACAATTGATTTAGAATTGAAATAAAAATATGAAGAAATAAATCAACTTTGTGGAGAGGGATCAAAAAATAATTCATTATTAATTTGTAAAGGTGATTATGAAGCAATAAAAAGTAAATTACAATTAAACCATAAAGAAAGAGAAGAATTAGATTCATATATATAGAGTTATAAATAAAGAGGAATAAGAATGATAATATATGCAACAAGAGTATTAAGTGAGAAAGAGACTGAAAATTATAAATAGTAATTTAATTTATTGCACAGTTCTTTGACAAATTAAGATATATTACTTGAGTAATTAGCATTGGAATATGAAAAGGAATTAAATATTTTAGGGATGATAGGATTCAAAGAAGAATTAAAAAACGATGCTTTGGATTTTATAAAAACAGTTAAAGATTGTAATATAAATATTTGGTTATTAAGTGGAGATTAAGAAGTATAAACAATAAGTTGTGCATAATCACTAGAAATGACAGAATCATCAAAATATTTAAGAATAGTAGCAACAGAGAAGGAATAGATATGGTTGTAAATAAATACAGCGATTGGGTAGATTTAGAGTGAATTATAAAAGATACAAGAGAAATAATAAGAAAAACATATTAATTAAAATGTATTAAATAGAAGTATGATAAAATCAAGTGTGACACTTTTTGAAGGTGCTTCTTTTTAATAAGTATTGTAATTTGTTTTGGTTGTAAATGGTCATTCTTTATCATTAATAAGTGAATCTGCAGATTTAATGAGTCATTTTAGATTCTTATCTTGTGTATGCAAGAATGTAATAGGATTTAATATGAATCCTTAATAAAAGGAATTAGCATGTATGATAATTCGTAATTACTTTCCAAATAATCCAACTGTGCTTGGAGTAGGAGATGGATACAATGATGCATTGATGATGTAAGCAGCCAATATCAGTATAGAAATAATAAATAGTAAAAGAAATCACATTTATCCTTAAGTTAATGCTGGAGATATCAGTGTTAATACATTATCAGAGATTAAAGTATTACTCTTATAAAAATGTAAATTACATAGTGAAAGAGTGTCATCAATGATAATATATTTATTTTATTGTGCTGGCTTTTTAGGTATGACATTATTCTTTTTTAATTGGTTCTGTCAATTTACAGCCACCTCTTTACATGATTCAATGACTGTATTTTTATACATTTTTATGTATACTACTCCAAATGCTTTAGTAATTGGATTAGCCGATAAATAAACTGAACCTCTTGTTAATGCAAGATTTCCAGCTTTCTATATTGATGGATAAATTAGAACACGTAGATTCTGGTTTTTTTATCTTATTGAAGGTTTCCTTGAATCATTTATTTGTGCTGCCTATACATTCTATTCTTGTACTTATATGATCAATTATGCATGGACAAATGATGGATATTAATCTGATATTTAAATGATAGCAACATCAATTATATATTTACTTATTACAGTATCCAGTTTCAAAGTTTTATTTAGACTAATCTAAAACAATGTAAGTTTTGTGATAATAGCTTTTCTATTTACATTTGGTTTATTGGTTGGATTTGTTTTTATTAATTATAGAGAAGATTTTAGTAATTATGATTATTAGGAGTTAACATATTAAATATTTACAAGATTCAATAGCATAGTTGCTATAATATTTAGTCTATTTGGTTGTTTCTTTATCAATTACTTTTTACATGATTTTATAAAATTGACTTATTTTCCAAATGCATATTAATAGTTTGCATTTTAAAATAAAAGTGGTCAAGAGTGGGAATAAATATCTAACAAAGAGATTTTATACTAATGTGTTGATCAACATGTGTAAATATTAATAATTAAACAATAGTAATGTTTCATCAATTATTCAAAAGGTGTTCATAGATTGTTCAGCTACTTCTCCTTATATTTAAGAAATGTTAAACCCTGGGGATACGAAAGTGACAGAAATGAAATTGAAACCTCTAACACTTGAAATGAAAGAATTAGTTTTAGAGTAAAAGTTCTTGGCTCATAAATTAAGTTAATCATTAAAACATTTGAGATTATTCTTATGCATCTTGTTATTATACTATATTGCATATTGTTTGACAGATTTCTTTTTGAATGATTAAAAAGTGTTTACAGGAGCATACTATTTGCTTGTGTTTGGAATAATGTTCATTATAATACTATTTTCTTGTAGTTAGAAAATGGAAGATTAATATTATACATATTCACATATAATTGTACTGATAATATTTGCTATAAAAGTGGCAATAGATTGGTTATCAGATGAATTAACAATAACATTATCTGCAACTATAGTGATATTATTTAGTACATTTAATTCAATGAATATGAGTGTGATACCAATAATTTTATACAACATATGCTATTTGATTTAATTGATCGTAAGAATATTGATAATTGTTATTTCAACAGATTTGAGCACTTCAAATGGAACCTATACTTAGAGTAGAATATCTATATATGCAGCTAGTACTCAAATTTTATTGGTTGTTAGTATTACGATAAGATTTTTATTCAGTTATTATAAATCTATAAAACATAGAAGAAATGATTATTTAGCAAAGTATTCCATAGAATAAGATAATGTAGCAGCTTAGGATATATTGAGTATTTTAGTACCTCGATTTGTAAGACAATAAATATCTACAGGAATATATTCAATGTAATAAGCTTAGGATGATGTTTCTATTTTGTTTGCTTATATATGTGATTTTGATACAATAATGAAAGAGGAAGGTAAAAATGTAGTATTAATGTTGGATTCATTATTTAGATTATATGATAATTTATGTATTTAACATGGAGTATAAAAAATTGAAACTGTTGGATATACTTATATGGCAGCAACAGGAATTAAAGCATGTGAATAAAATATGACTGCTCATGTTACAAGGATAGAAAAAACTATGAGATTAGTTAATATGGCTTTTGATATGATGTAATAAGTATAAGGAAGAAAATATGGAAAAGGTAATTAAATAGAAATGAAAATTGGAATTCATGTTGGACGTGTAATTGCAGGTGTTATTGGTCATCATAAACCTTAATTTTCATTGATTGGAGATCCTGTTAATCAAACTAGTCGTGTTGGTTCTACAGGAGATACTGGAGCAATTACACTTAGTGAATAAGCTTTTAAATAGGCTAGACATGGAATCAAATATTATCAAAAGAAATAGAAGGAAGCTAAGGGTTTAGGAATTATAGATACCTATCAGGTTTTTAAAACTAAACCCCCAGGATATTAAATACCAAAAGCATTTCAATTATGGTAGAATTGTACAAAGGTTGTTGTTAAAGATTTGAGATAACATAGAAGCTCACGTTAAATATAACCGAAAAAGAAAGGCTAATTCTTAACCTAACTTTAGCATTCCATTTATCAAGATAACAATATGAAATAATCCAATAAACTTGAAATCTCACCTAGAGGCCCTTAGACTATTCAATTTTTATTACCTTAAGGCTCTGCTTAAGAAGAAAATAGATCTAGATTAACTATTCCATAATAATAATCAGAATAAAATATAACTGAAGAATCAGTTTTAATAACTAATGAACAAGAAGAAAAGGAACTTGAGTTAATTAAACCAAATGTTATTTTAGATATACCAGAAAATGAAATAAAATAAAATTTCAATTAAATTCTTAAAGAGTAAAATGTAGATGAATCTAGAGTGGGTATGATATTTTTGTGGATCACTTACTTCGTAATTACACTATTATCAATAATCGTTCGTAAATTATTCGAAAATGATATGTTGATTTTTGTATTGAGAGTATATAATTTAATTATGATTAGGCTATCTTCCTAATAGTATCATTTGTTCTATTTCCTATTCTATCAAAAGCTTATAGAAATCGAGTAGTAAATGCAATGTATTACATTTTACTAATATATGCAATCTTCACAGTACTATATTAAGCATATTTAACGGATAATCATGAAGTAGCTATAATTTGTCTATTGGAAATTTTATACATAATGATTGTGTCATGTTAGATGAAAATGTTTTCATTTTTGTAAGTTATACTTTACATGATAATAATGTTAGGATTATTCTTAGGTTTTTATATTTCAACAGATTTGATTACACATTATGCAATATTTTATATATGTTGTTGTATGTTGATACTATTGTTAGGATATTATCTTGCAATGAGTGAATAAATTTAAATGTTTAATAACCTTTAAATCAATGAAGAAAAGAAAGTGAAATAAATAAATTTAGTGAGTTAATTGTTACCAATGCATTCTTATTTAAAAATGAAGAATAGTTCAATATATGATAAAAGTGATTTCATAGATGAATTTGATGATGTTACTCTATTATTTGCTGACATAAAGGGTTTTACTGAATACTCACATACACAAAGTCCTGAAGGTGTAGTTACAATGTTGAGAAATCTCTTCACTGAATTTGATAAACTTTGTTAAAGATACAATGTTTATAAAATGTACACAATTGGAGATTGCTATGTTGTCATGGGTTTTACAAATAGTGCTAAAAGAAATGTATTATTTCTTATAATTAAAATATTAGCCTATTCAAGAAGCAATAAATACTGTAAAAATGGGATTCTAAATGGTTGACATTATAATGTCTGTAAGATAGAAAATTAAGTTTGATAAATTGAATATGAGAATTGGTATTCATACTGGATAAGTTACTGGAGGTATCATAGGAACTGATATTGTGAGATATGATATCTATGGAAAAGATGTTTCTATTGCTAATAAAATGGAAAGTAGCGGAGTTGAAGGAAGAGTCTAAGTATCAGAAACCACTAAATTTATGATTGAACGAGCTGAAAAACATGCTTTCAACTTTAAATTCCATCATGTAAATTATTTTTATATCTATCCTAGGATGTTGAATTAAATAAATTTAATATGAATATCAAAGGATTTCTTGTAGAATGGGATAAAAGAAGAGAAGAAGCTAGTCTAGATCAATAAAAATCGCCAAGTCGCCATTAATGATTCATATTGTTAAACTTAATATCTAATTTATTATGTATAATTAATCCTCTAAAATCTTTCTCATAATCAATTAACCCTTAATATACTTTTAATTCTGTTCTTAACACTTTTCAAAACTCTTAAACTAAAAATTTCTTTTATTCTATTCTTTTCTGTCCTAATTTAAAATAAGCCTTTGTTTTGATAGAAATTAGTTTGCCATTCCTACTTATAGATATCATTTGCTTTTGTTCTTGCCAATTAACCATCTCTTTCTTTATACTGATGAAACTTTTCTCTTAGTCCCCTTATACTTTGTTTTATATATAGATCAATTTTTTCGTTAATTTTATAGTTGCTTTTCTGTTAATGAAATTATTATAATCAAATTTTAGACTTCAAACTAATAGTATTTCTCCTCTCAAAACATCTATTTAAGACAACTTGTTTATTCATTTCTAGCAGCAATTTAATACTAATTTTGTAATTAATTATAATTATTATTAGAAATAGGCATACTAATAATATATTTAATAGATATATATATAATAAAACCCAGAATCAATAATAACAATTAGATCTAAAAATGATATTAAGTAGAAATATATATAATTCATTATAAAAAGTATCTAGTTAATACTAACAATAATCTAGTTATTATAATTTATTACTAAATCACATAATTAATTTTGCATTATCTTCATCTTCTTCTTCTTATTCAATTAATTATTATACTCTTCTCCATATAAATATTCCTAAAACTGTCGTAATCATAAGACTCAAAGAAAAAACTTGATCTCTAATGAAAAATTCTAATCCAACTAGGACTGCTAAACTTAAGCCTTGACATAATTGAATAGGCATAAAATCATCAACAAACTGATATGATTAATCAATATATATACATAATTATAACTGCTAGTGAAAGAAAATAAGCCCAATCCATTACTAAATATTGCTAAAATGCAAGAAATTAAGATAAAGTAATAGGATTAAATTTGAATACTAATAATCAATGCTACATTGATAATAATACTCATAAACAAACTCAATCTATACAATAATAATTATGGAACCTTGTAAAATAATCTACAAGGAAGATAATTAGCTAAAATCATTGATAAGCCAAAAATAAAGTAATGAAATGGCATAGATTAATAGATAGTTCCATTATTATCAGTATTTAAACGATTTAAAAAGAATACTAACATCATGGTACTACTTGAATACATAATAATCTAAATGATTTTAAGAGTCTTTTAATCATCTAATTCATATTCATCGTCTAATAATAATAATAATTTAAAATACTATCAATAAGTCTTTTTTCATGATACATATCTATTACTTCTTCTACATTTGCCTTTTTAAACATATTAGCCAAAAAGTATTCAGCTTCATTAGGAGTACAAGTCTTTAAATCATCATAATTGAATGATAAATGCAAATTAATTAACCTAATAGCTAAAAATACTGTAGGTAATGAGATTAGTAAATTCCAAAGGACACAATCATCATAAATCTTTAATTTATTCAACATCTCAATTTTTGGATAGCTATATGCCATAAGTCCTTAAATTGTCCATCCAATTCCAAAAGCAACATATTGATACTAGCACAAATATTAACCCAAATTTTTAACTATTCATTATTATTATTGATTATTTTACCATTCAATTAATCTGGAAACTTTTTTCTAATATAAACTTCTATAGGTCTCATCATTGTTTTAAAATAGATATTACTATATTTAATATCCAGATTTATCAAAGCTCCCATAAATACTCTTATAATTAGTGTTCCTTCCCTAAATGGTAAAAACCATTACAAGACTAGAGCTACTATAAGCATAGTTTCACATTTGATCATTATTTATCTTAAATTACCTTTCATTTCAATTCCACTTGCAAGTAGATAACCTCTAAAGTAATATATATGAAATACATCAAAAAGGCGACATTCATCCAATTGAAATCAATTTTGTATTTATGTTTAGTTTGATTTATTTTAAGCCAAGAAGGTTCTGCTGCACTTGGTATTGTCATGAAATAGCCTAAAAATGCATATGGAGCAAAACAATGCCAAGCAAAATAATATATTTGTTTTTTCACCCTAAATATTTATGATTCCTCTTTCATTAATAATTATTTTACAAAAACATTACTAATAAATTCAAAAGAGTTGAACCATAATTCAACTATAAGAAAGAAGGAGTTTAAATTAATTATTATTAATGTTTATTATTAAACTAATTCATGCTCCAAAGCCATAAAGAGTTCTGCCTTATCTCTTTAAGGAGTACACAACATCCATTACAGTAACTGTCTTTCTTCTAGCATGCTCTGTATAGGTAATAGCATCTCTAACAACATTTTCTAAGAAGCTCTTCAAGACATTTCTTGAGTCATCATAAAGGAATGATGAAATTCTTTTAACTCCTCCTCTTCTTGCTAATCTTCTAATTGCTGGTTTTGTAATTCCTTCAATGGATGCTTTGTTTGGTTTTCTTGCATGTCTCTTTGCACTGACTTTGCCAATTCCTTTTCCTGATTTTCCTGCCATTTTTATTGATTTGAATTAATGAAAATAAAAAAATTAGGTTGTATATTGTAATATTAATCCGAATAATTGATAAATCAACCAATCATAATTTTTGTTTAGAAAAGTTAATTTATATAGGTCTATTTATATAATAACAAAATATAATTACTTTCCGTCCAATTCTAATCCATTCATATTTGCTAAAACCGTCAATGCTACTTCAGTTGTTGCATATTTTAGAATACACAAATACTTATTACCGGTTGTTAGAATTCTAAATAAAAGAGTTTTATACTTCAATGCTTTGATTTATCCAAAATCTTGCATATATTATGACATCATAGAATTTTGACAAGAGTTTCTAGTAAGATTAGAAACTTAGATTGTATCACATGGCGGAGCAAGAGTATAAGTTGAATCAGGTTTTATACGGTGAGTTTCTTCTCCTCCCTAAAAATATTCTTCTTAGGTTTTAAGATCTGAAGCAATTTCTCCTGGCTTTGTAGGTTATGATTTTAAAGATATTTCCTCATAATTTGAAAAAAAGATCTAAATTAAAATAGATTATACTTTAATTTATTATCCATAAAACATGATATCATTAAGTGCTTCTTTTGCAATGGCTGCGTGATCTTACATTACATATTGAATAAGACAACTTGATCTTTCTTTCAAATATATCATTTTATCTATATTGCCATAGATACTAAATATATTATAGAGCATAGTGGAAGTGACTACTTTCTTATCAAACCATCTTGCATATATGACTTTAGATTTACGAAGAGCTAAACAAAATCAATAAATGAAGAACCTTTAAAAAATAGAGGATTAACATATTCTTCTAACTTATCTTATTATTATTAAAGATTCTAACTTTTAGAAGTACTTTGAGGATTTTACCTCTAAATTTTGCCTTTACTAATTAATTAATCAATATTGTCAACACTTCTAGATGATTATTCAATAGTATTTTTTTATGTTTATTTTTCAACTTAATGTGCCACTATTTAATTATCATTTTTATCAAAGAGCATATCTTAATTTAATTTATTTAAGATCTTTTATTTCTCTCTTTCAGAAAACTCTTGATTATGATCAACAAATTTAAACAATTCATTATTACTCTCAGAATCATCATTTTCAATATCATTATCAAATTATAGTAATTCTTCTTCATATTCCTAAAGATTATCATCTTCCCCTTCAGAATCTCTTAAACCTAATCCATTGAAATTTAGATCTTCTGCCTTCGTAACACTCTTTCCCTCACTCTAATACATCTTTTAAACCTATATTTAATCAATTAATTTATCAGAACTATGAAACATAACATCCTTAGTAATATCTGTTTCTTGGTAACTTTAAATAAATTCAATTTAATCTCCATTTTAAATCTTTTTATCGTTAGGAAGTGTTAGTTTTTTTCTGTTTTGTTTACCATTATTGCTAGATTAAATACTAATAGATTTTTAATCATCAAGTTGATTGTATTCTTATAAGAAGTTTTAATAATTATCTGTAAGATTAGAAAATTTCTGTTAAGAATCATAAATGTCTTTTAAAATTGACTATTACTTTTCAATTTAGTTTTATAAGTCTGTTGTCTATTATAGAGGAGTAGCAAAGCCTTCTGCACAAACCTATTATAATAGTCCCATAAGAGAATTGATTTATTAGATTTATTAAGACATTTGATGTTGATACTACATTTGGGATTATAAGAATTAGAAGTTTTGTTAAGGAGGAATAGGATTACTTTTTATCTATGAAGAAGATTAAGTCACTTCATTTGGAAGATTTGTTTCTTTTTTTCTTAACTATGTGTAATCTAACAATAAATGACATTATACCTACACCCCCAGTATTATTTTCTTAGAATGTAATGTAAGCTAATTTGCTTGTATATACATTCATTAACAATGTATTATCATCACAAAAGAACTTATCATTCATCTATGACCTTGCTTTAAGGGCTGATTCTGGATTGTCAAACTCTATAAAGGTTTTCCAAGTGAGTGATCTCTCAAAGATGAGCATCTAAACTATCATAAAACAACACTTACTCTCTATATTGTACCGAAAGGACTGAAAACTTTAAAATATTTATCATGACTCAAAGTTTTATTAGCTTTGTTAGTTATTACAACCAAAATAACATTAGTACGAGGAGGATCAGAGTTTCTTTGGATTTAAGAATTCATAATTAGATTTAGAGAAATTTTATATTTATATATTATTTCATTAAATACTAATTTATAAATGCCTACCCAATTTTACTAATTTTATTGTTATACCTAAAGTCTAAACATGTTATTTATTAAATTTCTAAATAATGTATTTAAATTCAAAACTATTCCTTCTTCAATAATTTATTATACTCATCCACCAAATCTTATATTGGTCCACTCTATTCAATTGTTTTATCAGGTCTCTCTCTTTTAAATCTAGGAAATCTTACTGATATTCCTGTATTCAATTATTAATTTTATATTGGATAAATAGGTGATGCCGATACTGAATCATAAGTTACTTCCCAAACTTCATTTTATTTAAACCATACATGAGGTTAATCTTTAAACTTCATTAAATATTCAGGACAACTCCCTACTTCTTATGACATGTATCTCTAAGTTAATTCTATTAATTTTTTATCACTAAATCCTGTCCCTATTTTAGCTATTGGATACAATCTTCCATTCTCATAAATACCCAAAAGAAAAGATCCTAACCATTATTATCTCTTTCCTTAACCATAATAACCACCTAATACGACTAAATCAATATCTTTTTCTTTCTTTACCTTCAACCAATCATTTCTTGAGCCAGGACTATAAATTGTGTCTTTTTTTATCATTATTCCTTCCAATCCATCTATAAGCGCCTTTATATAAAAATTCTTCATTTCATTTTCATCTTTAAATTTATATGATATTATGTGACTTATAACCTATCGCTAATCTGTTATTGGTTCTAACATTCCCTTATAAATTTCTTATCTCTAAGAATAATTCTAATTAAATAGAACTTTCTATTTATGATACAAAATATCAAAACATACCAAACTTAACTATTCTGAATTCTCATATGTTTTATTTTGCATCTCTTAAAATGGTAAAATCTATCCATTATTATAACAAATCATTTCACAATCTAATATCACATCATCAAAATTATTTTTTATAAAATATTCTTTTAGTTATTTTGATAATTCTTTATATTACTTGGTCTTTTCCTCTAAAGATCTACCAAATAATTTCACTTCTCCATTTGTAAAATGAACTTATAATCTCTCTCCATCATATTTATATTCAAAAAAACATCCTTAAAGATCATCATTCAAAAATTTTTTCTTTATTTTTTCCATTGTTATTTCATCATCCTTTTTTTCCTTTTAAAAACTTTTTGCCAATTATGGTTATATTGGAAATCCTACAACCAAATCTTATTACCCTGATTAGAATCCTAATATTTATTTTCTTTCATTCTCATCTAAAAATGACTATACACTTTATGTACTTAATCCTATTCTCATTCTTTTCTATAAATTTCAAATTAATTTTACTTTTAAGAATCGAATTAAATATCGAACTTCTAAAAGACAAGAGCATTATCTTAATAAATCTTAAACCATGATTTCCTTTTAATCCTCACAACCACCCCCAGATAATTCAAAAATCTCTTATAATTTTTTAAAAAATGTTGAGAATTTGATTGATTCTGATTTATTCAAGGTCTTAAAAAAATCTTCTATGTTTTTTATTTAATCTATTTCTCCATACATTCTGCTAACTAATTAGATATCTAAATTAAATGTTTTTGCTATTGCACTATACAGTACATCAGATGGCACAGCTGCTTCAATCAATTATGATTAAGAATTAACATCACATAAAGTAAATCGAATAAATTCTTCTTTCACTTTATATTCTTCTGCCTATTTTAATGCCTCTTCATATAAAGAATTTTTTATTTTTCTCTTCGTTTCTTTCTCAATTCCATCAAAAATCTATGCACACCATTTCAATGTACTAAATTATTAAAATCGAAGGAGTCTCAATTATTTATAATAAAACATCTAAGAAATTGAAATAATACTTAAATTTATTTTATTTGATTTTATGCCCTTTACAAATTGAGTCTTTTAAGCTCAATTTAACGTACAAAATCATTAATCATTTAAAATCAATCATATTTGGGAAAGAAGAAGAGAATTAAACTATAATTTTATTTTATATTAATATAATAGATTAATAAGACTATTTCTAATTTATTTGGATTGTAATTTAAATTTTGAATCCTTCAAAAAAAAGAACTAATTTTAAATTTATTTGAAAATATGAATTGATGAATTTTATGTTGTCATCTCTTAATAATGAGATATTTATTAAGTAATAAAAGAAGAATATCTTAATAATTCTTTTATTAATTATTTAATTAATAAATGAGTCATAAATCAACTCAAAATAGCAATTATCCATTTTATTAATATTGTTTAGGTGGGCCATAACAAAACTTTTTGAAGTGTACAAATTGTATTATCTTGGGTGTTATTATTATTCTATTGCTTTTTATTCTGATTCAATAATTGCATAGAAGGTATCAAACAGGAACTAAGAAATTATCTAAAAAGTGCATCATTTTGTACATGATTATGATAAACTTTCTAAGTAATCATGATAACAAATTCAAGTATTATTTGTAGAGTCCTTCATCATTAGCAATAAATACATGACATAATTAGAACCTTACTTCAGAACTATGGTGTTCATTTTTTTTTACTATTATATTAGTCTTAAATTAAGTAAACTATAATCCAACAGAAAAAGAGCATTAAAATAATTTCGAAACATTGCTTTGTTCTTATTGGCTCTAGTGCTAGTTGGTTTAATTTTTGTACTTATAGAGTTAATAAAAGAAGATGAAGGTTATTATGAATGCTATTGTAAAATATAACTAACTAATTCTAGTTAAATATAGTAAGATTTCAAGAATTGTGGGAGGATGCGTTACAGCAATTATAGTTATATTTAGTGAGAAGTTATAAAAAAAAATGGATGATCAAGTTTAACCACTTTACAAAGATCTTCCACTCTTATAAATGAAGGCCTTTCAAAATAATGAAACATAAAGGGAAGATTTAAGAATACTTATTGTTATGTACGTTGCTTCCTAATTTCTAACCATATTCTAAATGATTTACTTTTTTGTCAAAGAATACATAAATGCTGAATTGCAATTTACAAATTGTACTCCTTGCCAAATGATTCCTTGTCTCAAAATGTCACCTAATAATACAATTGCATTTGAACTCTTATTGAAATTATTTTTTTTAATAATCATCATTTTCCTGCCTTATCTGGCATTAATCTCCTTTTTTTGGGTTAATTCAAATAAATTGCATATTAATCAGGTATTTAATTCATAAACTAATTATTTAGCATCGAACTATCTCGAATGAAGAAGATATTTGGATAAATCTTTTTAAGAAAATGGGATATGAAAAATCCAAGATGTATTTATCAGATATCTCAGAATAATAAGAAAAAACTTCATCATTAGATGATTCTAATTGAAAAATTGATAATATAATTATCGAATTATACTTATAAAATTTGGCTTAATTTTCTTGTTTGTTTTTTTATAAATTTCTAAAATTATACTATTTATTTCGTCGAAGATTTTGAATATCCCCAAAATTAATTAATCATTTCTTTTAAGAAAGACTTTTATCATGTCAATTTTTTAATAATTGTAATGATGATTATCTGAAATAATCATTTAAACAAAAGAAAGATTCAAATTTACAAATTTAATTAGCCTAAATTTACAAATATATTTTTTGATTCTAAAATACATCTACTTTTTTTATGTCGATTGCATTATGAGAATACTTTATTTAACTCTCCTTTTTAAAATGATTGTCCATATTGAAGCTTGTTAAAGAGGCTTTAATAAGGTATTAAATTTAGAAAGAAAATATTAATAAATTCAGTTTCTTCTATTAAATTGCCATTATATTATTTTAAGACAATGTGATAGTTTATTAAAATTGGCATAATTATTATAAAGATTTCGTANTAGTGCTAGTTGGTTTAATTTTTGTACTTATAGAGTTAATAAAAGAAGATGAAGGTTATTATGAATGCTATTGTAAAATATAACTAACTAATTCTAGTTAAATATAGTAAGATTTCAAGAATTGTGGGAGGATGCGTTACAGCAATTATAGTTATATTTAGTGAGAAGTTATAAAAAAAAATGGATGATCAAGTTTAACCACTTTACAAAGATCTTCCACTCTTATAAATGAAGGCCTTTCAAAATAATGAAACATAAAGGGAAGATTTAAGAATACTTATTGTTATGTACGTTGCTTCCTAATTTCTAACCATATTCTAAATGATTTACTTTTTTGTCAAAGAATACATAAATGCTGAATTGCAATTTACAAATTGTACTCCTTGCCAAATGATTCCTTGTCTCAAAATGTCACCTAATAATACAATTGCATTTGAACTCTTATTGAAATTATTTTTTTTAATAATCATCATTTTCCTGCCTTATCTGGCATTAATCTCCTTTTTTTGGGTTAATTCAAATAAATTGCATATTAATCAGGTATTTAATTCATAAACTAATTATTTAGCATCGAACTATCTCGAATGAAGAAGATATTTGGATAAATCTTTTTAAGAAAATGGGATATGAAAAATCCAAGATGTATTTATCAGATATCTCAGAATAATAAGAAAAAACTTCATCATTAGATGATTCTAATTGAAAAATTGATAATATAATTATCGAATTATACTTATAAAATTTGGCTTAATTTTCTTGTTTGTTTTTTTATAAATTTCTAAAATTATACTATTTATTTCGTCGAAGATTTTGAATATCCCCAAAATTAATTAATCATTTCTTTTAAGAAAGACTTTTATCATGTCAATTTTTTAATAATTGTAATGATGATTATCTGAAATAATCATTTAAACAAAAGAAAGATTCAAATTTACAAATTTAATTAGCCTAAATTTACAAATATATTTTTTGATTCTAAAATACATCTACTTTTTTTATGTCGATTGCATTATGAGAATACTTTATTTAACTCTCCTTTTTAAAATGATTGTCCATATTGAAGCTTGTTAAAGAGGCTTTAATAAGGTATTAAATTTAGAAAGAAAATATTAATAAATTCAGTTTCTTCTATTAAATTGCCATTATATTATTTTAAGACAATGTGATAGTTTATTAAAATTGGCATAATTATTATAAAGATTTCGTATATAAATTATAAATTATTTGGGTTAATACATCATTTTATCTTTTATTTCTATCGATTTGTGTTGGTGAAATTACAATTTACTGGAACGTTTGATTTTAATTATAAAATATTGATGCAAGAACTAATAATTGTATTATAATGGTATTATACCAATTTAAAAAGAAATTAATTATTTTACTCCAACATAAATAAACTTAAAGAACAAAAAATCAATTAAAAAAAAGATTAATAGATAATTTGGAAAATGTTCTATCTTAATTAATTAGACAGTCATTAATAATAAAAAAAGAAGTAATAATTTTGAGTTAAAATATTTTATTTTTTTAATATAAGTTAATTTAATTATATAAAAAGTTATTTGAGGATTATCTTCTTTGAGGAATAGATTAAAATCAAAGATTGATTTTTGTTAAACAAATTAATATCTATATATAGATCCTTGAGAGAAAATGAAATTATTGTGATGATGATATTTTGAAGAATAATAATAATTTTGATTTTCTTTATTGATCACAAAATTAAAATAAATTTATGAATAGTGAAAGTGGAAATGATGACAAAGGAAAATTCTTTAAGAATATCCAAGCTCTATGGGATAGTTAATTAAAGGATTCAAAAGAGAAATGGTACTCTTTGGGTGATCAGTATTGGAGAACAATTGAACCCACATTAAATGGTGTATTAGGAGGATTGGAGTTTTTAAATAAGATTGACATAGAGGAATCAAATAAATTATTAACTATGCTATATAAAACTCCTCTTTAAGACTTGAGAGTTGTTGATTGTGGTGCTGGAATAGGAAGTAAAGAAATTTATTATATTAATATTAGGAGTTTCAAAAGAGTTATTAATAAATTGGTTCAAAAAAGTAGATTTAATTGAATAGAATCCTATATATGTTGAGAAGGCAAAGGAAGAATTAGGAAATAAAATATGTGAATATTATTGTTCAGGTTTACAAAATTTTGAGTTTTAGTATAAATATGATTGCATTTGGATTTAATGGGTGGCAAGTCATTTAACAGATGATGATCTTATTATATTTTTAAAAAAATGCAAGCAAAATATGAATTAAAATGGATATATAATTTTGAAGGAAAATATTACTAAATAGGGATTTAATTATGATACAGAAGATCATAGTGTAATAAGATCAGATTTAATGTTTAAATAATTATTTTAAAAAGCTGGTTTAGAATTGAAGTTTAGTGGTTTGTAGCCAAACTTTCCTAAGGATTTATATTAAGTTAATCAATATGTTTTATAATGAATAAAAATTAAACTATTAATGTGTGTTCAATATTTA